GGATAAAAATGACCAGTGAAGTTCAGAGCATCAGGAACTACAATAAAACGTTTATTTTTAAACAAGTCCTGGCAATGTCATGCATGTGCTCACTCACTCTCTGTTTCTGTAGTGTCCTGCTATAGACTACACCAGGCACACACTTGATGGAGCTGCATGTCTTCTGAATAGCAATAAATATTTCCCCAGCAGGTAAAAACATTTTCTCTTGGGAGGAGGGAGAGAAGGAGGGAGGAGGTTGGAAATTAAGACAGTGACAAAGCCCAGGGAGAATTATAATGCATGTTTCATGGACTACTATTTATAAAAATCCTGCAGCTCTTAGGAGTTGGGAGGCCTATTGCCACTTCTAAGCCAAGGAAGAATTCTGGCTTATTCAAATAGTTTGCCATTTACTGGAGCCAAGGGATGCTTTTTAGGTAAAAACTGTTTTAGTAATATCTGTTAGTGGTATGGGGCTTCCATTGGAGTAGCACTCACCTAGACAAGAGGATGGCCTTGGGACAGATGCTGCACCTCGAACTCCTTCAACAGGACAGCACCAAAACCCTCCAGAAGCCAACACCAATCTACTGTGAGACATGGCAATCCCAGAAGACAGAGACAAACAACTGAATAGGCAGGTCACATCAGAGAGAACTCCCTGCCCAAGTCACAATGATACTTCTCAAGGAATTCAGTACAGACAAGGAGGTGCAACTGGACATATTTTTTTCTTTGCCCATAAACCCTAGAAACCAGAAATCCCGCCTTTACCAGAATTGATGATGATTAATTATAGGCAATTAATTACAGAACTTTTTTTGTAGTCAGAGTACAATTTGTAATGTGGAACTTGCACCAACAAATCTGAATTTCATATGCAATTGTACAGAATAGTTTTAACAATTAAAATTTATGTCAGAATGTTCCTCAGTAGTCATTTCATTAGAGCAGTTGTGTAACCTTTCTCCTGCTGCTTACAGGGTTAGCATAAAGGAATCCTCTGTAGCCAAATTAGGATCGGTGTGCCGAAGGATTTACAGAATATTTTCACATGCTTATTTTCATCACCGGCAGATATTTGATGAATATGAAGTAAGTAGTTTGAAATTACATCTTGAAAGCAGGGTATTTACTCAAGTTACAGCTGTGATGGAGTTGTATAAAATACTTAGTCCTACTAGAAGATCTATATTCAAATGAAGGATTGATTACAGTTGAATCCAGTTTTACAAGAACTGAAAAGCTGTTATACTTACACAGAAACATAAACATTCATTTATGTGATCAGTGTGCTCAGTTATGGTTTCTCTTCATTTAGATAAAAGGCCAGCAAATTCATCTTGTATTTAAGAATTCTGAATGTATTCAAGCACTGAGTGCAGTTAGTACTGCTTATATACATATATGTATATATATGTATTTCCTGTTTCTGTATGTTGCACAACAGTTAAGGAACTGTAATTGTGTAATTGTAAAGGATCAGAGTAATTGAGGGCAACTTGTGCACGACCAGTAACCTTTCTTTTTAATGGGAAAGTAAAAATTAATAGATAGAAAGGAGATAAGGGGTACAGCTAAATATAAAAGGGAACCTTTGCCAAATCCCACTGAAAGTTTCTGGAACAAATGATTGTGCCCTGTTGTGCTAGAGACAGACAAGAATATATTTAAGTATTTAAAAGTATGATTCTGAAATTCCTCCTACATGCACTAAGTGCTGTTAAATTGGGCTGTGACTGAAGCCTCAATTTCAGTAGGTTTCTTAGTATTTGTAGTAACTATAAGCAACCAGTAAAGACATAAAAGAAGCAATAAATTTACTATTTAAGCTTGACTAAGACCTGTAAATGTAAGGAGACAATTATATAGAAGCAGGCTTTTTGTTTAGCATGTTCCTCATAATGGTTTAAAATAATCCTTCTGTACATACTGTTTTTTCCCTTTTTTCACCTCCAGAATGAAACTTTCTTGTGTCACCGGTTCACTAAGTTTGTGATGAAGTATAATCTGATGTCCAAGGATAACCTGATTGTACCAATTTTGGAAGAAGAAGTGCAAAATTCAGTGTCAGGGGAGAGTGAGGCATAATGGGAAGAGCAGTACAGAATCCTGTACTGAATATAAACAAAACATTAATTATCTACTGTATATATCACTTTAGACACTTCAATCGCGTATCCACATAGCTTTGTTTAGTATACTTTTTGTATGCTGTGTGCATTGCCTTTTAATATGGGAAATACTTCTAAGTTATTCATGAGCTGTATATTCATCAATGTGGCACTCATGGTTTTTAAATAAAAGTAGTAGTATCTGTTTATAATGCCTGTTAATAAATGAATTTACAGTTCTCTAAAAATGCTGCTAAACAATCATTGAATTACAATCCTGAAATGTGTCTGATTGGGTGGGGAAAAAGTGAGATAACAATTTCACAGCAAGCCATTTTGTAATGCAGTAGCTATATTAAGTCTTGGTTCAAAGATTATCACCTTAAATATATATTTCTGCAGGAAGCTTCTTGCAATGTAGCTTATTCCTAACTTACCTTTTTTTTTTTTTTTTTTAATGGCTTTGGAGATTTACTTCTAGGATATGCATATTGCTGTATGTGTATATCCAGATACTAAAAGGATCTATAGTATTAACCAAAAGGACAATTTCACTATGGTATTGAACATATATATTCTTGATATATATCTAACACACTTTCTGGACTTTTTTTTTTTGTCAGCAGTGGAGATTTGTGCGTAGCAGGGGACAGGTGCTGTCCTGTTAAGGCACACTTCTGCTGTTCTCCTGTCCACAACATCTCTAAAGAATACCTGTGCATATTTACGGCAACTGCTTACAGATTATACCTCAGCTGTTCATGTTACACTATGTAACACACTGGCACAGTCTCTGCTTGTATTCCTAGTCAAAACATGCTACATACCTGAAATATCCAATCTGATGCTTTGCAAGTTAATTGTGTTTTCAACATCGATTTGTTTCTCTTTATTTACCTTAACCATAATGAATGAAAGATTTGGATTCATGTTTCTGGTTCCCTATCAGGTGTCTATTTCAAGTTGTGTTTGCAGATTTGCAATAACTGACGATTTCTATGAGTGCTGCTTAATTGTATTTTGTCTAGAGAGATAGAATTAAATGTTTTAGAGATGCATATAAGAGAAATACTGCTAAGTGTACATGAATGCAGGGTATAAAAGCAGTAGCAGTGTTCTTGAATGAATTTTGCTTTGCTGTTTAAGAAGTTAGCTTGTTTCTCTGAAGTTGACAGGAGCCCTCTTTATTTTTTCCAGCAGGTCAGAATGGGCTAGCTCAGCTAGTTTTAGTAATTTACACTTTGTTTTCTACATTACATTTACATGGAAAGAAGGGAGTCCACATATTTTTACTAAGTGTTTTTTCATAATATACTAAACATGCCTTAAATTCTATTTTTCTTTATATGAATCAAGCACACCTCAAGCAACTGTTATCAACTGGATGTAAAGGGAATATAAACAATGAGAAAATTGAGAGACTAAGCTTAAGTACTTCAACAGCTGTGTTCTTCAGCAGCTTCTTGTCTCATGTTTATCATTGTATTTAACTGTCAGCAGGGTAATTGCATGAGATGTTGTCAGAGTGAAGTAGCTTTAGTTACTGTCTATACACTTAGCTGTAACTTGCCTTGTATAGACCAGGTTACCTGATTTTGATAGATACCTTGGAGTTTGTACTGCAGGTAGGAGGATGTTTTCTGGAGGTAGTAAAATGTATTTAGCTTGTTGCTGTCTCCTCTAGGACCATCCAAGGTGTGGCTCCTTTGTACAGTCACTCTGCATGTGTATGTTGGCCATGGTGACTGGGACAGGCAAAAACATGGGACTGGTGTTGCTAATTACATTTCCTCTACAAAATTGAAGATGATGATGTGGTGCTCAGGACTGCATTAAAATTTTAAACCTCTTCCTTTCATGCTTTAAGAGTTTAACTTCAAAACAAAACTCTGGTAGTTTGAATCCTGTTTATTCTCATTCAGATTTGCACTGTAAAGTTGACTTGCTATACTAAACTAAATTTATATAAGGCCTAAGTGAGACACTGCTTGTATTTTCCCTTGCTATTGTTTACATGAGTACTGTGTACACACATGTGCCTGGATGGTACCATAAAACTTCAGTTAGCCTAAGCAAACCATTGATTTGTCTAATAAATATTAACGGGTTTAATTTAGACTTTACATCATAGGGAAACTGAGACTGTCTTTGAATTATATTGTAAAAAAAAGGATAAAATTAAACTGTTTCTTTATCCATGCCACTATATTTTGACAAGTTATTCTCTTTTTTCATCTTGTCTGAGAACACAGCAACTGTTTCCAACAGACCCTTGGGTGCTCCCCCATCTCTGCTCCAAGGTGTGCTCAAGTCAGGTTGTCTTTCTTCTTTCCAAAGTAGGGAACTAAAATACTCATTAGGAACTTGCAAATCAACCCTCAAACACTCTTCAAATAAGAATATGCTGGTTCCACAGTTAAAATATGGGAGGTGTAGAAGAGGCCCTCTAGATACAGAATAAGCACATTTATGACTGCATGTCACTGACACAGTGGCTGTAAGCAAAGACTCACTGTCAAATGACTTCTTCCTTCGTCACTGGGGTTTCTCCTCACCTTTGGCTTAGCACATCTTCCAGCACATCAGCCATGGTGTTAAGCTGTCAAGACAGCAATCTCCATTTTTTGCCTTCAAAAGATGAATATACTAAGAACAGGGAAAACCTAATGAGCTTTTACTAGATGGCATTAACTCTATAAGGCTTTGCTGTTCAGACAAGACTGCAAAAAGGTAATTTTAGCTTGAGACAAGGTACACATTGATCCAACCCAGTTAATGTCAGTGTGAGACAAACACCATGAACTGGGAACTGATGTGCTAACTACTTCTAATGGTGAGAATCTCCCTATATGAACTAGAGAAAAGATCTGAACCCATACAAAAAGAATATTTTACAGACCCAAAACAAGTGAAGCAGCCGTTTATTGCAGTTGACCAGGTATGTAAATAAACTGTTCTGACAGTTACAAGTAAAGTACAAAATATTTAACTGTGGACAGTTTCTTCCTGTTTGTAAACATTAGAAAACTATTTCCCCTCCAAACAATTTAAGCATCAGAAAGTATAAACAATCTTTTGCAGAGGTTCATCAACATGGCTGCCTTCCATTCTTTCTAAAAGTTGCAGAGCATTTCTGTTGTCACCATCAGGAAAGGGGTTTCCCTACTATTTCAAACACACAGGCTCCTGGCTGAACTCTTGTTATTGACTACAGAAAGTGTACTTACTATTTTTTTCAGAGAATTCTTCTGATTTACAAAGCTGCTTTACTTAATGGACAGTGCTGGTCACCATACCAGTAAAGCCAAACCTTCATGCTCTGGTTTGTGCCAGACAGGCGATGAGGATCTGAAATCAAATCTATACCCAAAATGCACCCTCCCTTTTTCACTCATCCAAGTAAGACAGAGCTGTCTTTCAAAAATTTTTTACAAGGAACAAACCAGAAGATTTTCCATAACTTGTTTTAGAAGCATTTTAATTTTTTTCAGTTTCAGCATCCAAGCCTTAGAAGATGAGTGGTCAAGTGCATGAAGTCAGATAATTCTCGCACTGTCTTCACACAGGCCGAGCAAGCAACTTGTCCTGACTGCGAAAAGCAAACAATTCAGATGAGTATTTCTACAGCACAGGCAACTTTGATACTATGAGACAAATGACATTAAAAACCCCAGCTGTCCTTAACAATCCAGGAATTGCTGAGTGGGTTCAGAGGAAACAATTTAGCATGGCTATACTGCATTAAAAAAAGACAGAAAGAAATCCAGAGGTTTGCAGCATTGTCAACACCTGTGACATTCGTGAGCAAGGACTAAAGCATAGTTAAAACTGAAGGCTATTGAGAAAGAATTTAGCTTTATTTCATTTTAAAAGAAGTCTTTCTTGCTGAAAGTGATGATGTTCTAGTGCACCTGTGGACTAGGACCTTTTGAATTTATGCAAGGCAAATAAAGGTATACTCAATTTCCACCTCAGTTCCAAAACAGTCTGTCTTGTGTACATCCCATTAATTGTAAGGAGAACATTGATCTTAGAAAGACACTATTTTAATTGAATTTTGTGCACTTTCAACAGGTGATACAGGAAGATCTCAGTTAAAAGTGATTTTTATCCAATGAATGCATTCTAGAAAGAGTAACTGCATTAAATATACTACTTTATACTTTGTAACTTACTGAAATACTTACAAGCTCAGTTTTGGTTTAGGGTTCACTAATATTAACCATCTTAAGCAAAGATCTTGCTTTATAAAAGGTTCTTTCTTTGACATACTTTAAAAGCTCTAACTTGAAATATTCAGAACTGGAGCTCTGGACCAATTTTTGCCCATTTTACAGATTGGGTATGTATGGAGAATGACCAATGGTTAAACAATGGTTAAAATTACAAAAACAGGGTTTGGAGAACTCATAAAAAATACTTCTAGAATTAAAGCAACATATTCCAGGTTGCATGAGACCAGCTGTTACTCCATTTATAATGTGCTAGAGTTAGCTGGCTTTCTGCCAGAGATAGCTGTAACTTCTATTTCATATTCTCCATCCGTGTCCCATGGAAGAGATCCCTGTTGCCCACTGGAGATGACCAGTGCTCCCTGAGAAGTGCCACAAGACAAAGCAGCACTTGGGGCAGGCTCTGCAGGGACACCTAGCCCAGCACTCTCCCTGTCAGCAGAGGGATCTTCCTCCCTACAGTGCCCCCAGACAGGGAATGAATACAAGGCTCATGCCCCACATCCCTGACCTCAAGATGCTGGTGGGAAAGCTGGGAGAAGAGCCTTTGCCAGAAGAGGTTCCTTACTGTACCTCCTATTTGAGGAGCTCCCATCACTCCCCACAGCATGCAATGGGAAAAAGAAGTTGAAGCTAAATCTCCAGAGCTGTAGATTTTTTTGGAAGAAAAGCCCCCAACATGCTACAAGCAATTAAGAGTTGGTCTTCCAAAGAAAAAATAAGCAATCCTGCCAGTAAGAATATCATAAGTAAATCAGGAAGCAGCTCCAAAGCAATATTATTTCAAGTTTACCCTATGCTAATTATGTCAGTAGAGTGAGTTTTCTCCCTACCCCCTGTCCTATATAAAATTAAACTTTTTTACTGCATGAATTAGTTTTGCTTACTGAAATAAACAGCAAAGTTCTTTCTGCACAGCTTTGAGACTGCAGCTGAACCTCCACTAGCCTGGCCATCTCCTGGAGTGCTTATTTGGAGTTAATTGTTGGTGTTCCAGTCACTGCATTAATCTGCCCACTGTATTTAGTGCCAGCATCTACCACTGTGGATTAGGCAGAGTCCCAGAGCAGCTGGTGGGATACCATCCATGGAGAACAGGGTGTTGGAGGTAAATGATTCATGACATCTGTGTTTGCAGCACAACACACAGACAGGTACCAAAATCCCTGGGTGATGTGTGTGCTGTACTGCAAACATTAAGAGTGGAGTTAGGAATACATTTGCTCAGTTCTGACTTATTTTGACTGAATTATTTTACACTAGTGTAGAGATGATGAGCACTTTTTTTTTTTTAAATTTTTATTCAGCTTCTCCTCTGTAAAATACAGTTTCCAGACAGCAGCATAAAAGCAGTTGCTGTTTGTTCCTCTCCCCACAGCACCTTACCACCATTAACTTCCCTTAATGCAAGCAGCTCCTCCCCATAGTAAGGATGGAAGCACAGCAACTTGATCCTTTCCTCTGAACATCAAGTCTGGTATTGGATGCACCTCAATACACTTCATCCAGTGTGAGATACATTTAGCTGAGACATTTTATACTGCCTATGAAGTTTAGCCTGCATCCTCCTCCTCTGCATTAGCAGCATCACACTGCTCTCAATGCTTCCTAGGGAGCTTCTCAAACTACTTGTTTACAGACTGCAAGTTATCTGCAGGGGATGAACAGTTCTTAATTTCCACTCACAAGTACATTATGAACACATCATTATAATACAAGTTATAAGCTCCTGGCTAACATGTACAAGGAACCCTGTGAAAACCGCATAGGGGAAGTTATATTCCAGGAACAAGTTACCTACCTACAGCCTCTTGAGTTTTTCTGTCCATACTGTCTGAATGTAGCTTAAATTATTACCACTCTAGCGTAAGACTTGACATTTATCTAGGCTTTTGAACTAATGCAAGGCAAATAAAGTGAAAATTATATTAAAACTTAAGAACAGCCAGACAGTTCATTTTTTCCCACCAATATTTACAACATCCTTAAAAAACCCCAAGGACAAAACAACCAAACAAACTCAAAAGCATTCCTCCAGCTTTTGGAAAATTCTAAACATCCTCATTCCTTTCTCTCTCACACAATTCAAACTGTCACTGTTTTGCAGCTTTTGCTTCCTTGCTTGTCAAAAGCATTAACAAGTTAGCAGAGCACCCAAATCATGTAGTTACACTATTAAAGACAGACAGAAAACCAAATTATTTTGCAGTAGTATTATTACTACAGTAGGATTAACACAACACAGACAAAAATACAAGAGTGTTTGGGAAGAGTCATAGGATTATACCAATGTATTTAAAGTAGTGTAATAAAAAAAAAAAAATTTGTGTGATTTATGTACATGTCCATTTTATGCAGTTACTTACTCATCACATACATGTGACCTGAGTGACTCCATCCTCCTGGTCAAATTGTCCATCATCCAGTTCCCTTAATACTCCATCACTGCTACTGAATCCTGGAAAGCCTCCATAATGGGAGGATCCTTCCTTGATCCAACATTGTTTAGAAGGAGATAGGTGAAACTCGTCAGGTGGTTGTCCAGTTTCTACAGGGCAAAAAGTAGCTGTGTCTGATCCAACACTTCTGCTGGACACCTTGCCTTTTTCTTCCCCAGTCATTTGTCTTAAGGGTTTCTTCTGAAAAACAAGAGGATGTTGAAATGTTTGTTTATTTAGGGGAAAAGGAATTGAGCCAAACACTTTGCAATGATCATGGATAGACTTAGTGTAGCTGCATATTAATCCTGAGTGCAATTCTCAAGAAACATACAATTATCTCAGGAGGCAGTTACAATTCCCACAGTAAATCCATGCAGATAGAAGTCAGTGGCTGCTCTATACAGCCATTTGAAATGGGATCTAGAGAGTCCTTGCACAGGAGGAACTCAGGATTAATACAGTCTGACATTAGTATTGGGACTGCCTGATATCTTTCCTGTTGAAGTGATGGTTGCCAGTGTCAAAAAGACAAGCAAGCAGATCATGATTTCTGCAAACAGTAGACCTACCAGGCTATGCTAAGGGTTCTCTGAGGCACAACAATAAATCAAAGGTTTATCTCAGTTCAGCATCAGGAGCTACCTGAGTTCCTGAGATCTGTGATGATGCAGCATCTCTAGAGACAATGTCAGGGCCTTGAGCTACACAGAGGAGCAGGGTCAGCAAGGCAGGAGTGCCCTGAGCCATCCGCCTGGAGCCCTGCTCTCAGCACAAGCTCAGCTACACCAGGAGATGTTTGCCAGGGGACACTGCCCTGCCCACAGAAAGAGCACATGGAGCCAAGAGGGAATCCAGCCTCAGAACAGAGCTGCATTTTAGTGCATGAAGGACACAGTGCAGACACTTTAAAAAAAACCAGAACACTCCACAGACTTTTACTATGCTTTGGCAAGTGTGTGGCCTCCTTCTGTACATTGCTAAGCTTTTTCTCAAATCCTTTTGAAACAGTAAAAACAATGGCCTATGTGGCTAAAGGAAACATATTTAGGGAAGCTGTTACAGGCAACATTGGGAAATTAAACAAGGGGAAACAGCACTGCCTCAGGAGAAATAGAAGGAAATAAGTCTTGCCTCGATGCCAAAGAAAGAGGATGGAAAAGTCTGCTTAAGGGAAATAAAGAAAAAGAGAAAAGAAAAAACCAACCCACTCAAGCACTGCATGGTTCAATCTTGCATTTCATCCTCTGAACCCTTTCTTAGAAAAACAAATGGTATGTGACAAACAAGAAGTCCACAGAGACAATACAGCTCTTGTAACCCAAGAAGCTTTTGTACTACCACATAAATCATAAACCAGTCCATAACTCACTACCCCACAGATATACAAGAAGGCAGAGAGATGAGCTGTGAGACATAACATATTCCATCCTCAGAAAAGAGACCCTGTGAGATTAAGAGACCAAGTAATGGGGGATTAAAATTATGGCAAAAACCAACATAATTGGCAAAACAGAAGGAAAATGTGACTCTGCTAAATGTTTCAGCTTCAGCCCCAGTTACCTATTTATCCCAAGCTAAATGACCTCAGCATAATGAAATCTCTGGTAGAGAAGCAAAACATTCACTGGTACTGAAAAAACACATTTTTGTTCAGATTTCAAACACAGACATCCTGATGTAAATGGCTACAAATCAGCTATTTCTTGTTTACTTTGAGTACGTTTAATGCTTAAGTCAAACTTTTTCCATTCCAACAAAATAAAACAACAACTACAAACCACATTTTATTTGTATAACCCAAGGAGGCTCATCACCTCACAACAGGGTGAAAGAATCTAAACAGTGAGTACAATGCTTCCTATTTTTAATTTAGCCATGTCTCAAAGATTCATCAGTTCCTCAGATTGAATGGTTTTACAGAACTGGGTGTATTACATCTTTTGGCAGAATCCAACCTGTGACATACAGTTACACTGCCTTTTAAAAAACACATAGTAAGAAGTGACATTATGCCTTACCAAGGGGAAAAAAGTATCAGGAGTTCATGTTCTTACTATATACAGACTATTAAAGAAGAAAACGTCAGGAAAAGCATTATTCCATGGCTGACATGTGCTGTATATATTTACAACATTGCTATCAAAAACTGTGGTCCAAAACATACTTTCTGAAATGAATTAGGAAAAAAAGTAAAGGCTACGAAGTCAGGCATGTGAGAGGAAGTCAGAAGGTTTTAAAGATAAAAGCTGGAGGTGCTTTCAACACAGAGGGTAGTTAGGGAAAAAAGTCTACTGGTAGAATTTAGAAGAAGGTATGAATGGAGAGAGATTAAGACACTGGCAAAAGAGACTACACAGAACCCTGAAGAGCAAAAATGCAAAAGCTCCAATTCTGAAAATGAAGATATAAATTAGTGTACAAGAACTATCTGGGAATTCAGACAGTGGCAGAGACAAAAACAAACAGGACTTGAACTGTACATGTTGAAGGCATGGTTAGTTCTTCCAGGCATGGAAGCACTAATTACCAGGGGACACAGTGAGAAGGAAGTTAGGCTGGAGATAAGCAGAAGCCTGGAGAAGAACAAAAAAAGGAAGAGTATATTTTAGAAACACTAAACAAAGGAAAACACAAATGATGGCAACACACTGAACAGACAGTAAAAAAACCACAGAGAAAGATCAAATAGAAATACAAGAAATTTGAACAACTATGGAAGTATTCATACAAATAGAGAAAGAAACAGCTAGGTACCACTGCCATATAATCATACGCCATGAATGAGTTTGTGAAGTTACCACTCCACTGCTGGACATGAGTGAAAACATTCATAGCTTTCCTAACTGCCTAAGATTATCACAGGAAAGACATGTTAAATAGAGAAAGGCTGATCAGCCACTGAAAACCAGTGAGAAAGAACAGAAAATGGAAACCCATCACAGTACATCAAAAGACCTGGCAAAGAAAAGCCCACCAGGAGTTCACCCTTCTCTGGCCACAGCAGCATTTACTGCAGTACTGTGCTGGTGCAGTAATTGTGACAGTGACTTTGAGCAGAATGTGAAGACCGTCAGTCACTTAATTCTCAAAACACTTCATACAACCTCCACTCAAAAGGGACAAGGAATTGTTGAAGTTCAGCTGCAGGAATTTTAAAGCCTCTGTCACACATTTTCATTCAACAGTCCTTCACCTCCATAACCTGCAGGTTACAGCATCCCTTAGAACACAGCTTAAAACTCCTTTCTTCTAAAAATGCGAAAGTAGATGTTTTGAAGGTCAAAATAATTTTCTGTTTCATGAGCAAAAGATGCAGGATTTTGATCAGAACTTTTAAGACTCCTGAAGACTTCCAAGGAAATACAGCATAGCCGGCCATGTTCACCTGAGACACAGTAACTCCTCAGCATAAAACAGATTTTCAGCCTGCTTTTGCTTTTCTCTATGGCTTAAGAGATAACAGCTGAGAAAAAAACCCATGTAATCCAGCTGCAAAAAACATCACTGAACTTGAACTTGTTCACAGGGAAACTGTATTCTGCCAGTTCTTTCCCCTGTTAATTCTGAAATCTAGTTTGTTTCTGTATCTTGCCATAATGTGAAGTACTAATTTTTTAATATTAATATCACAAATATGTTACTCACCTCTGGTGTCTGGACAGCAGAACTCCACATAACAGGTCTCTGAAGAAAAATTACTTGCTTTGTGGCCAGATTTCCTTCACTAAAATGTAAAGAAAATAGTTTTCATGTTTTAAAGGCAATAATTGTCACTAAGATATTTGAAGTCAGCTTTAGGGTGGGTGTTAGTTCACAAGTGAGAAGAGGACAGACTACAGAGTATTATCCAGTTTATTAATTCCTCAATGGTTCTATAATGATATTTTTTTTAAAAACAGAAGCATAGAACTAGGTTAAGGTGATGCACATGAAAATATGGACAGAGCAGTAACTTGTTTTACCATGACTGGAATTATTTAATATGTTGGTTTTGAAAGTTTAAATATCAGAGCTCCTACTTTTAATCCAAGTCTGCACATTTATGTCTGAAGCAAACCTTCACAAGTCTTTTTTTAACTTAATCTTCACTGTTAAATATACAGCAACATATACCTATTAATACCACAACAACCAGGCCCAATCTTCATAGTTCCATAGCTTCAGCAAATCTCTCAATGCTTTGTGGTATGAAACTTGGGAATTGACATTCTTTACTGCTAAAAAGAAGTTGTAAAATGTAATCTAATGGACACAGCAGGATAAGCTTGGTGCCTCATCACCTATGGATAAAGGGCTTCAGCTCAGTTTTAATAAGCTTTGCATCAAGAATGAGATGAATGACACACAGAGTTCTGTACGAGGGAGGTACCAGCATAGGGAGAAGAGAATATTTTAGTAAGAAAAGTAAAGAAAAGGGGAAAAAAAAAAAAAAAAAAAAAAAAAAAAAAAGAGCAACTTCAGTCCCGGAACCTTTACAGATGCCAATACTGTTGTGGTAGACAAAGCAAAGGTTTTGGGTTTTTTTTCCAAAAGGGAATACTTTTAGACAAGTGAAGTTGCTCCCCAGACCATGTATTACTGATATGATGTTTCATAAGCATTACATCCCCTTAGTAGTGGTGATAAATACATCCTCTAAGTTTTAATATATTTCCATCATCTTTCCACCAGAAATACATGTCACCACTTTGATAGGAGATATAATACAAACCCCAACTCCATGTCACTGAAAGTTAAACAATTTCAAGACAAGAACTCCAGAATAAAAAGATTTTAAAATTTCCAGTTTTCTTCTAAGTATCAGATACTACATTTTTATAAGCTCTTCTCCCCCCGTCTGCTTCTGGGCAGTATTCAGTAAGATCTTCAGGCATATAAAGGCAAAATACTGAAATTGTTTGGCAAAAGGGTTGCTACAGATTTAAGAGTGCACTAAATAAAAATAGCAAAATAGAAACAGCAAAGATATGGCAGTTAATTTGAATTGTTTATGATTCTACCTATTCTATCAACCATAAAACTGTGTTATTATGCATAACATTACTAAGAACTAATAAAACAATTTAAGCTTTTAATTCAGTGTGGATATTTCACAAGGTTAACCACTGCACACATAAAGTCAAGGTAACTGATGCATGTCTGACAACTGAAAATTATTTTGTATTTAACATCAGAGACTTGCTCCAAGAAAAAAACAGGGATTAAAACTGTTCCTATGAGCTCAGAAGAGCTTGTTAACAGCCTGCTCCAGTAAAGCTTCTGGAAGTAAGCTCTGAGAAAATGCACAAACCAGTACTATTCTCAGCATAAACAGCCAACATGATCAATAGCTACTGATGATGGATTTGTGATGGTGTTTGGCCCCTCACAATCTTTTTTTCAGTCCAGCTCAACTCAGGTCACAGCATATCTTTGCATGTCTTCCTTAGATGAGAACAGAGAACTGAAACTCCAGCTTGTGGGAAAAACAAAACTGCAGGAGAACAAATTAATTTGTTTCCTTTAGCCTAACAAGGTTTCCTGTTCCAAGAGTCCCTACCTCACTATTTGCATTCATTACAAGAAAAAGTGTTTAGATTTTATGTCATGATAAGGAAATCTGCAATCCTGCAGCCTTATTCCACTTGGCTAGGTATTTCTCTGTGCCTCAGTTATGTCTCTTTTGATCAGTTGAAAAATGTCTCTTCCAAGCAACAAAGCTGAGCACAGTCCCTGGCATGGGGAAGAGCCTAAGGCTTATTTTGTAACAGTGTCTGCATTCCTTCAGAGAAAAGAAAAAAACCCAAACACTGAGCTAAAGCTTGTACAAACTCTACTAGAACAGAAAAAGGACATGATGGTGAGTAGACAAGAAGTAAATGAACAAATTTCTAAGTCTGACCTTATTAAAATGCCGCACACGACAAAGCAGCTATGAGCTTAATTCACAAAGAACTCAATGACAGTGGGATTTCCACAGAATTTAAATGAGAAAAAGTGCTTAGAGCAAGGGAAGCTCCACAGTTTCCCTCACATTTCTACATTCCCTCTTTTCCTTGTAAGTCACGGCATTTTGAAAATATAGATTAAGTGGTGAGCCAGGATAAATGAAGAACCATAAAGTCAGTGTTTTTGCCGTGCATTGCTCATAGTCTGCCCTGCCCATTTGCAGGGACTACAGTAAGCAGTGAAGGGAAATAAAGGTCACTGCAGAGTAAGGCTGCTGAAGCCTTTTTCCTGTCTCTTCTTCAAGAGTGATGAAGAGCAACAGAGACTCTTTTGTTGAAACACCAGCAATATGTTTGTCTGCTTATGCTGTACAGCAAAAACTGTGTCCTCTTACATGTCTATATTAAAGTCCTCCGAAACAACCATGAAGCTACAAGCTCAGTAGTACTGCCAATAGCTCTGGTTTCTACGTTTTTTAAATGCATGAATATTTGACATATGAAGCACTTAAAACAGATGTTAGACAAGATTTTCTTAAAATTTCCAAAGGGAATAAGAAAAACTATTTTCATGTATTCTTTCTTTTCTTTTTTATTTTCACTTCTCTAAAAAATATAACTTTGCACTCCTTTGGAACCGGATAGCATGAGGGAAAGTTTTACAATAAATTAGGAGAATAGGGAGACAGAATAGAGGAAAATACTACAGTGAGTAAAAATGGGGGTAATAGATAAAATTTTCTTTAAATACTATGCACAAATTCTTTTTAAAAAATAAACATGAAAGCTTAATTTTGTCAGATCATCCCAAATTGTTGCTTATTTCAGTTTTTTCAGTGTTTCTGAAACCTCTTAATATTCAGGCTGGGTTTTGAGGTCAGACTTTTGAGTCTGGGGAATAAAACAGCTGTTGAGCAGCATAAAGTGTCCTTCTTTATTAAGACTTTTGCATTCCTAGGATAACCCACCACCATCACAGTAATGGCATCTTTCATAGCAGACACAGTAATCATCCAGGAATTTCTTCTTCTCCTTAAATACCAACATCAATGCCTAAAAATAGTAGTTATCAATTACTACTCAGCCCATCAGAATAGGAAGACACTGACTGTCTGATTCTCATGAATTCTCAATCCCTAACTCAGAATTCTTGTTCATAAGCTTTTTTCCTTTTTTTAAAGCAAATTGAATTGCTGTATATAGGATATAACACAGGCACACAAAACATGTTTCATTCTATTTCTTCCATGAGGAACTCATAAGCTACAATGGGGTAAACAAGCATTAGACAATTCATACAGACTCCTACTCAACCATTAGACCAGAAAACAAACTGTTTTTATTAGGCTGAGTTACTCTAGTGTGGATACAAAACGAATCCAGTTTCAGATTTGGCCAGGATACAACCCCTTTAGCATGAGCACTGCTATTAACGCTCTGGCTGTTTCACATCTGGGATATAGCACTGTTTGACACCTAAATATCTTCCTGGTATAGTCTCACTAATTCAAGGAACAGCTCTAGCCTAATCAGTTAATGCTTCCTACAGCACTGCATCCTATTTTTTTCCCCTTACAGCACTCGGCCTCTTTTAGTTGGCCCTGCCTTTGCTCTGTGGTCTCTGAGGTACAAACCAGCACCATCTGATCCACTGCAAGCACAGGCTGACACTCCCAGGGTATCACTCAGCAGCTGCTCAGGACGTTCCTGACCCTGCTCTTCAAACCCTGTGGGGATGGGCTCAGTTACATTGCTTGTGGGACACAAGGTTGGAAGTTAAATATTCTCTCATCCTATCACTCAGAACACACCATGACTACTAACATCTCCCTCCCATTCTTCAAAGATTATACCCAGATTCTGAAGACTTACTCTCAAGCCCGAAGATTTGGCCAAAATTTCAGCTGTTTATGAAAACCAGGCCTGGTAGTTCATATAGCCTATAAGTCACCATGTTCAAAGATAAGACACTTAGATTACAAAATTATTGAAGAAATTAAAGGATAACCATTTGTTTCGTGTTCTGGAAACCGCTTCTTCTTGCAGAGGAAAGCAAAACAGAGACTCCCAAACAAAAAAAGCTACAGAACATACCATATTTTACCACAACTTCTTTTGTCTTTGCATTTAACCAGTTGGTTAAAATCAACTATTAGAAAAAAACACTGCCAAAAAACCCCAAAACCTATTTCCTGATCACAAAAGCCTCCTTCTTATATTGGGTGAATTGAATTATGTCAAATTACTTAAGCAGAACTCTACTATCTTGCAACAGTTTTCTTAGAATCTTTCATGCACATCTTTTTCATGCTGTCTTGATTTAACACAGTGAGATCTGGGATCCAAAGATGACTCGAATCATTTCTTCCCACAGTTGTTAATGAGCCCTAAGCCTGCCTCAGTACCTTTGGTTGCTTCTGAAGCTTGACAATTTCATCTAAAGGGTGGAGAACTTTAAAAAAAAGATGCAAGAAGAGAAGCATTAAGAATGCTTGGTCTAGTGTCATATCTTTTTTGGGGGGGTTATTTAAGAATCAAAAAAAGAAAGCCCGGAACATTATGGGGAATCCAGCTCTTCTTATGTACAACAGAGTCCCATCAATGCTCTAAATAAGCATTATAGCTAGAGACCTAAAATCCAGTAGGTCTGGTACTATATTTGAGTTGAACCATAATGTCTATATTAGAGAAGAGAAACATCCCAGTAACTTGCTGGATTAGGACATTCTCTGGCCTAATTTGCAACAAACACTCCATGACTGTCTTATGACAACACGACTCTTTCCACGGTCTAAATCAGTCATTTATCAAGGTCCTAAACTAGTAAACATTTCAACACTTGTTTCTAGTTGAAGCATGAGTAATAACATTTCTGTGGACTGGGTATGTGATAAAAAGTTTCCTAAATAAAATCTTTCATGTTTAGATTTACACAATGTATTTTAAATTTAGAATTAGACTCACTGAAATCAGAAGTCCTAAACAGATGTGGCAAAGCACTCCATGAAAATGCTACTTACATCTCAAGCTTTGCATACATTTAACATTATCAGCATTTTCCTGCCTTTTACATTTAAGTATGCAAGTAATTATTTGATACACACACCAAAAATGCTGTAACCAACAGTTTGGGTACCTGTCATGTCGTACAATTGGTGTAGGCAGGACACAGGTCAGGAGCCATCCAAACTCAGCCAGCGTGTGCAGTAAAGGTCCATAATCTGTTTTAATTTCACACCCCTACATTAATAATTATAAAAAGTAGTAAAGAAACTCTGTACAGGTTTTATTTGCATTTCTACACAATTACAACACCTCCCCTCTCATTTTTAATGAGATAATCCTTTGAGATGACATCAAGCTGTTGTTTGATGGAGATGCATTATTTCAAACTGAAAACAACTTGAAAAGTTCAAGACTACAAAATCCATGGAAAACAAAATTTATTAACATTCGGTATGAGCCCTGACTCATCAAGACATAATTCAAGGCACATCTCACTCAACAAACTTGTAACTTTGCTAAATTAGTGCCTAAAACTTTTTAAGCACCATGATTAGGTGTCTCAATTGACATCTTTACAGTTTTTACTCCACATGTGAAAAATAAGCATCTCACTTAGCTACATACTTAAGGTTTTGGTGGGTTTTTTGGTGGTGGTCTTTTTTTACAGATACAAGTCTTTAGTTTGATGTTAATTTTTTTTCACATTTATAAATGTATTTATCATTGCATATTTCAAAAGTAAGAAAATCCAACAACATAATCCAACAACAACTGCTTTCAGATGTCATTCATACCAATAATCCTAAAAGATTAGAATATTTCTAAAGAGTAATTTTAAGAAATTTTATTGTTGTAACCTACTACAGTAGTAGATGCAAATTTATTAGGAAACCCATGTATTTCATATTAAGCAGTAAAATTTTCATAAAAATACATATCTGAATATCACACTGAATTAATTCACTATCAGTTTTCTCTTGTTGCTTTTCTAGTTAGAGCTATTTTCTCCCCCTTTTTTATAAAACACTTCACACTATCAATGTGACCTGCACTTGCTGAAATTACACCTAAATTGGTCTGAAACACAGGAAAAAAACCCCATCTTTTCTTTGGTAGTTGTATTTGTTGATATGAGCATTTATAAATGTTAGGCCACAATTTCTCTGGCATATTTCTTTTATGCATATTTATCAATGCCCATAAATCTGACTTCATTTTTGTAATTTGGGGCTTTAGTAAAGCCTATGCAGGTGACTTCAGGAAACCATCCTGAATGTTTATGGAACATTGGTACCAGGATCCTAAAGGAAAAAACAAAGAAAAATACCAGTAGGAAATAGCACTGCTAAATCATCACCTATTTACCTCAATGACTGTCCATTGTTCAACAACTATTGCATCATTTCCTTTCCTGCTAGAACCTGGAACCCCAGCACCTTCTTCTTCATAGATAAATAATCCTTCTAAAGATTTGGGCAAATAATCCCCTGTGAACATAAACATCAGCATTAAGTTTTAGGTTGATAGATTACCAAGATGTACACAAGATGTTTCTTTCTCACTGAACAGTCCTAAAACAAAATTAAATTACTCAGAAAACTCAATTTTGTGGTTATTTATGGAGTGTGCAGGTCAACTTAATAATAAAATCCCTTTTTTCTATACAAATTGAACTGTGAACAACTGTCTCAAAAGCATTAACCCTTCCCAACTCCAGTATAGATTCCAGTTTCCTGTATTCAACATATCCATTGCAGAAGATGGGCACAACCCTTTTTTCCTCAGCTTCAATATTGTCCTCCTGACAAGACATGTGGCTTTTGGTGTGGTGGAAAAGAGCACAAAAATGAGTGAACCATGAAGTGTAAAGCTCAACTACAGCCACTTAAATACACAAGAATGGCCACAGGAAGAGCCTGAAGCAAGTAATTGTAGGAGGATTCCTGGTGGGAAGGAAGTTTCAGAGCACAACTCCCTGACTCACAAGTTGAAGCTCAGTAGCATCCGTTTGGCCCAAACTAAAGCTGTGCATCAAATATTGGTTTAGTTTCTGGTTTTGCTTCTCCTAACAGCCTTTGGGAAGCCTTTTGTGGAGATTTACTTTAACAGCTGACTAACAAACTTAATTGGTACAGCAAAATTATGTAATCCCCAGAATACCAGCATTAAATCCCCTCCAATACTGGATGAGGTATGTTATTACCTGGGTAATAATAACCTCCTAAAGACAGGGAGCTATTCATGCAGAGAAGAGCAGACAGCCCTCTCTGTGAAGAATGGGAAGACTGTAAAACTGCTGTTGGTCAACAGCTGCAAAGATTAATTTCAACAGCTGCAAAACCACCCTTCAGTGAACTGTAACAGATCTCCAGAGAGTTCTTTTCCAGCTCTAAAAAAACTCTATAATGCGAACTACAAGTCAGAATTCTTACCTCTCCTCCACCAAAGGAAATTTGGTTGCTCCACTGACTTCGCTAAATAGGAGTAACAGTTTCAGAGAAAAAAAGATGACTGCTACAAACCAGCATTCTGTTCATGTGCACAAAATATGCAGTTTGAGAGGGACTAGCTGTCAAATTCCATCAGAAGTAAATCTACATTGATGAGCTTATGTGCCTGAGTCATAAATTTACTGCAGAGCTACACAAACACAGTGATTCACACTCAAATTCATGGAGAGCAATGAAAACTGAAGAGTTGTCATTAGTGTCAGGCTTTTGTTTTTGAAGAATCATAATTTAAATGGCAAAGATCTTATGTTTTGTATGTTTTTTTAAATTTAAGGCCTTCAATAACCCAAGAGCGCATATTGTTTTAAATCAAAATTATCAGAAAAAAGCAAAAGGCATAGTAAATATAGCAACTGCTCAAACTGACAGTAATTTTACCCTCCTCATGTAATTAATGTAAAAAGCAGATAAAATTAGTTATGAAAGCAAATTTAATATGTTACTAATTTTCTATTGCACTTGTTAATTATCCTGACCATTAAAAACAACTGTTTAAGGTCTCTGGAACCTTTTCAACTAACATTTGACAAGACTTTTTTTCTCTACTGCAACCCTGTATTTTGCTTGCTTACACTGCAATCATTAACTCTAAAGGAATATCAACAACTTGCAACTTAGTACAAGCAAGAGAGGTACAAATGCAACCAAAGCATCACTTTAGTGAAGTATACAGTGTAACTTTGCTATCAAACAACATTTGTTAAAATATTTCATTGTTTTGGAATTGATTAATCATCTTAGTTTGTTTTGGTCTGTACCCTTAACACTAGAGTACTATCATTTGTTTCACTTTTTTTTTCAAGTAATTGTACAACAGTAGTTACCTACTGGGTTTTTGCAGTTTTAACTTCTGGCTTTCAGATAAATCCAATTCAAATGGAAATGAATCTTTCAGTTATATATTTTACAGCAACAGAATTTGAGTGTTCTAAACACTTTTCATCCCATTGTCTTTTCCTTGAAAATGCACAAACAAGCCAGAAGAACTAGCACAAGAGGTTCATTTTGTTATAAATCTACTCTAGTTTGCTGCTTTGGAAATTGCCAATTTCATAAAACAAAACAAAAGCAAAAATTTCAATTAGTTGATTATAAATTGTCAAATCTGATACCTAAAAGGGAGTAATTTATTTTCTGGGCAGTTACAGATCCATCTGGACATACTCACATATATACCCTCCCACCAAGAAGCAAACTATAATCATAATTTTTTTCAAGTTATGTAATTCTATGTAAACAAGCAAAAGCTTCACGATATCCTGGGACAGTACTCACCTTTAGAAGTTTCCCAGTGTACAAAAGAATCAACTAAGGCCAATCCTTGTTTATAATAAAACGTAGTTAATTCTAGCCAGTCTGCTTCCAGTGTACTAACAACTGGCCCCTTTCTTGTTACTTTCATAGACAAAAGACCCTCATGGTAGGTCCAGCAGGTAGAATCATCATCAAAAACATTGAAGACCGTATAGAGCTTTTCTAAGGAGAGAGAAACGAAGAATGAACCTGAAAGACAGTGCTCCAAAATTTGTAATATTACTAATCTCCCCTATTTTAACATCATTTTCTATTTCTAAGCAACAGCTTTAATAACTGTTTCTTAATGTTGCTCTGCTTAAGACCTAAACACACTCAGGACAAGGTGTGAGGGGAGGTATGCTTTCGGATATGAGGAAAATGTGAACTTATTACAGCTGGGCTGTCACTGAATTCTTCAGGTAGTTGGGGTTTGCATAAAGAAAACATACAAAGACTAAGAAAAAACAGTGGAAACAGCCTTCATTTCTGCCACTTGTGAAACTTCTGGCTACAAATGTTGGCAATTATAAAAAAACAAAAGACAATTTTCTAAGCTTGCAAATGTAAAGAATGCCCTGTATTGACTTTAACCCATTATTCTCTGAAGTACCAGTGTAATTAGTTGCTTACTGGGATTTTCCTATAGTAACTGATGATCAGTGGAAATTAAGGATACAAAACCAACATATCCTCAAATTGGTTTTCTGTCTAGGTATTAATACAGTGCTTTAATAAAACCAGTTACAAGCAAGCACTCATTAAAATCTAACATATCCATAGCATTTTAGGAAATCACTGTTGCAAGTTATGAAATCCTAACTATATGAGTATGTTCTACAAATACACTTGTGTGTCACTGGTGTAGAGAAGTAACACAAAGCAGTTGCCCAGAAATATTTACAGATTGCTTAATACTGCTGGGCAGCCTAAATCAATGCAAACCAACCTCTAAACATCGAAGTTTTCACACTGTCAAAACAATGGAATTTGCTTAGATGACCCCAGTTAAGAAGTCAGTCTCTCTAGGCTCCAGTAACAGAGAAATTTCCAAAATACGATTTATACTCTAAGTAATCTGAACCAGTAACTGGAAGAATCCCTCTCTGCTTTGAGAAGTGTTACTACACCCACTGCAGGTGACATCAGGTACCTAGAATAAGGGAAATTCAGAACAAAATGTCGAACTTTCAGTAAGAGATAAGTCTTTATACAGTTTTATCACTTTCAGAGGTGCTTACATCAGAATAGATGTGTTTACCCTGACAAATCTTAATTTCTTTTACCATATATTGAAGTGACATCCCTTATTCTTCAGAAAAAGAAAACTGTTTCCCAATACAACTATCCAATTCCTCACACCTACCAGAAATTTACCTCTACAAGCAATGCATTATAGTCAAAATTCAATAAAATAGTTCAAAAAGCAACATAACAGTAAAAAATAATTCTTACTATCCCCAAATCTAAAACTTGGACACAGTTTTTTGCCTCTTTTGAGCAGAGGTAAAAGGAAGTGGCACACTGGTATAGCAGTATATACCTACACACATGTAACACCACCTTGGAAAATATGCATCAGTTATTTTTCAAAATGATGGTTACATAAAACATAGACCAAGAAAGGTGGTTACATTTCTAGAAGTTTTATCTCATGAACTCCAGTGATTTCCTATTTGACTAGTGTAGAGAAGCCTAGCATATCCTTGCCAAAGCTTTTTGAAGTTTCCTGAGAACACTGCATGTAGGGGATGCACTGGCTGCTGATCTGCCTGGTCATACCAGCCTGCACAAACAGTGCTCTTCAACAGAACCTAGAGTTTTCCACTTCTTCCTTACAGGACTGTTAATACATAGCAAACCTACAATTTCAAGCTGTAAGAAAAGATTATGCTATAAAAGCTCATTGTAGAAAAACTGCTTTTACTCAAGTGTTAAAAATAACAGGGACATTGATATCTCTGTGCTTAGAGTCATTATTCTCACAGTCTACAAAGTGGAGAGGTTGCTTTAACAGGAAAGTGAAAAGGTTGCTTTTCAGAGCAATTAAACATCTCTGGCTCATCAGGGAATGCAGCCTGACATGAAAGTTTCATGCTGCCTGCTTTGCACAAAATACTGTCTTACATTAGTTCTCTGATTTAAATTACTTCTTTTTGCCTTTTCCTCTTAGCAGCCAGGAGCCCTTAGAGTTTCAGTACCAGAAGTCAATGTTTCAGGCTATTTTTCCCACATGCTACACCAAGCACCTCATCCTTCTACAACTAAGTTGTCTATCACAGCACCAGCGTTTTTTCAATTATACTTTTCCTTCCTATACTTCTAATGCTTACTTTTCTCTCAGAAATTCATTTTGTAACAATTATTGTCTTCGATTTCATGGCCAGTGCATTAATTTCAGTGATCTCTTTCAGGACACTTCTTGAAGGCACGTTAACCAGAAAGAATCCATTATGAACGGATTTATTTAGTGTACATTATGTGAGTTGCCTGGAAGCATGTAAAATTATGGCTCTAGCTGGAAGGCACCGTCTTTGTTGTCATCTTTGAAACAGGCACAACTGGAATCACAATGTACACTTCGAAATTGCTATGTGTTTATAATTTTATATTGGGTAATCTACACGTGCATTGCAGAAAATATTTTATAACAATTGCATCCTTCTAAAAGGAAGGATTTTTACTGCCACATGTTTGTTATACATATATTGAGCAAAAACTCTTTCTGCATGCACCACATTTCAAGCCACAATTACATTGTGGGCGATTTTGGGGGGGGTTGTTTGTGGTTTTCCTTTTTTTTTTGAATTGAAACTAGAATTCTGACAGAACATCTGCAATAGTCTACATGAAAACTGAAATATCATTTTAATATATTACTACAGTTCACATACATAAAACAGAAGTAAGTATTCCTTCTGCTTCTGTAACTAGCAACTCTTTTAGAACTATGTATGCATTTACATGTGCATGCGTAGAGGCCTTTTCCAAAACCAGCAATTGATACAACAGAAAATATTGTTTTTCTCTTTTTTGCAATGCCTCAACAAGTCAATAAAATACCTTATTTCTGCAACAAACAAGCAGCAATTATTACCATCTCCTTTTCGTGGTTTAGAAGGGCTGACTTCTTTTCCAAACTGGAAATCTGAATCCTCTAACAGTCTGCTTTCTCCATGCATTTCCTCTTCTATCCCACTCTCAGATGAGTGACCGCTCAATGTCCCTTCATTCCAGTTTTTATAGTTTTCCTCAAAGTTTTCTCTTCTGTGTTCCCTATTTCTTCTGCCCAGCGTTGATTCCAGCTCTGCTCCTCCATCTGTGCTTGCTCCATTACAGGCTTTAGGCTGAGGAAAATGTTGTGTTACAAATCCCACAAACTTCTTTCCTCTTTTAGCAGCTTCATTAACCTGCAATAGAACAATAACTTAGCTGCAAAGTCATTTTAGAATTGCACAGGCCTTTTTCTTCTTTAAAACTTGTACATACATGAACCACTTTACTAAACTGCTGAGGACATAAAGGCCTAACACTGTATTACAGAAGGGTGACTTGTCTTTGATGCTGCCCCTGCTTCAAAGTAAAGGGATGTTTTCCAGCATGTCTTTGGAGTCAGGCCAAGAAAGGTGGCCAACACTGGTACCGACTTCAGAATATACAAAATCATTTAGAACAAACCCAAAGTATTTTTTTTACTGTGTTGTACTGATAAAAGCAGTATAGCAGAGCAATAAATAGTATTTCTCTAAATGTGTGATGCCAGTCAGACTCAAAATACTGACCTCCAGTACTATAAAGTATCTCTGCCAAGAGCCATGAGTCATTACCTCCTGGTTCCCTTGGAGGCTACTCAGCTTTGTTATTACTGAGGACAGTGGAGGAGCAGAGAAAGAAGGGAGCTAGAAGCAAATGAAAATCCTCTTATTTCAGCCAGTGTTGTCTTCTCTGCACTGAAGTCTCAATACTCAACTGTAACATCTGTGCCACCTGTGGGATGTGTCTGTTCCTGGAGCTGATTTTTTTCCTGGGTTAGCGAGTGCTGCCATTTAGGAAGGTGACCCCACTGACACCTTGCACTACAAGCTCCCCTGTGAAGTAAAGTCCTCACAGGTAAATACAGGAGCTTCAGCTCAGAAAGAAGATATCACATGGGAAGTACTGGATTAAGTGAGGGCAGAGTGAGAAGGATCTTTATTCAGTTTACTCACATAAACTATTAAACCACAGAGTGAGTAAAAATCAAACAACTGATGGTACTGAAATCTCTTTTTAGTACCACAATAGTGACACTTCAATCTATCTACTGCCATTATTTATGTACAGCAATGATACAATATGCCAATCATTGTGCTTATATATACAGAGCTGCTGCTTCAAGGACAGCCAAAACAGTTTTAAATTTAGCAAGCAACAGAAAAACAGACCATACAATAATCTTTTTGCTGAAAACCACTATTATTGTTTCAGATCTTAAAAAAAAAAAATACTAAGATTTGACTGGATTAATGGCTCTTTTTAAAACCGAGAACATTTTAAAATCAAATTATTCTCTCACATACTACTTCTGTGACAGATATGCTTCCAAGACTTCAAGATCATTGCTCATTTCAAGTGTGTTTTTCCTTCTACTCTTCGTCTGCTACACTACACCACCAACCTGGAATAGGTGTATATATATTATAAATGCCTAATGTAATCACATTTTAAATGTGAAACACCTGACAAAGTCAAAACAAGCCATTTATAAAATACAAACAACTTATGAAATTTCAAAGATCATTAAAGATCTCCAATATGCTTTACCTTCTACTACTCTCCTTGGCAACTAATGTAAAAGTTATCACTAACTCTTTTAATAACAATAGTTTCCTGCTTTAGCAAGTCCTCCATTTTGCAGAGGAAGTTAAACACAAAAAGAACTAGAAGCATAACTTGCATTCCAGTATAAGTTTACTGTAACTATACAATGTTTTCAAAAGCTGTGCCAAGTAAATATTTATTATAGTTCCTATACATGCTGTATTTTTGGGTAAAGAATGAAAAGAACATTTCTTCTTAGGTATTTAACTCAAAAAAACCATAAAATTCACATATTATACAAGTATTTTATAAAGAGAGTCTGAGCTTGAGCTTGACATTGCTTTCAGTGAAGACTTCCAAAGCTTTACAGGGATACTTAGTCCTATAATACAAAAAGTAACTCTTCTCACTTTGAGAAAAGTTTTGTAGCTTCTATAAAATAAACACAAAACTAAAACCACAACCACTAAACATAACTTACACAATAGAAACAAAAATCTGAAGAGAAGTTAAAAAAAATCTCCATTACCTTTTCTAGCAGTTCTTTCACTACTTCATTTGTCAGTGTTTCATATGTTAAAGGACATTCCTCAATCACCAGCCTGGGGTGCCTTTGTCCTCTGGGTGCTGTGTGCTTCTGGCTAGAACACAGAATAAAGCAGTCTTTGTCAGGAGTTTGCTGCCAAGTTGAGCAAATGCTTGCATATAGAATTAATTTCTTTTGGAAGAGTTATGAACGAAATCCTGACAATGCTTCTTCATACTTTTTAGAGCTCAGTGGGTTTTGGTGTTTTGTTCTGTTTCCTACACAAAGTGACAGGTACTATGTGTTTCAATGCCAGGATAAGAATATTATTATTTAACAAGAATTTCATCTGAAGACCATGTAGAGAGATATTTTGTAAATTAAGCTTTACTGACAAACAGCTCTGCCTTTGTAATAAATAAATGCAAAAATCTCTACCAATGCAAAACACACAAATTTAAACCATAAATTTAGTAAGCACAAAGCAGATTCAGTTTTGTACAAAACACACCACAAACAGAAATGGTCCTTTTACACTTTTAACATCCTGCTGCTTAGTCTTTGTAACTAAAGCAGAGCTGCAGTTGTTAAATGAAAGTATAGGCAAATGCTAGGAATACAATGCAAAAACACTGAGGGTTAAATAATGTTTGAATCCCTCATATTGAAGGTGACAAACCCTAACTTCCATTTAAAGTTACAGAATAGTACTCATGTTTCATCTAAAGCCAGTTTTTCTTAGTCAGACAATATTTATGGTATTCTAATAATATAATGGGATTTTATTTGACACTTTGTATAATCATTTCATTTAGAAAAGAACATCAATTAGACACATTCAAATATAAAAGTTTACTTTACAAACAATAGTTGGAGAAGGTGTATTTCCCACAACAAATCCAGCCTACGTATGGCACCTGGGAAGGAAATTAGAACATACCCCAGTTTCACAGGTAGGCTACAGAGTCTCATCCTTCATCCATTCAAGGGCCTAAAGGTTCAAACAACAACTTCCAAAGGATGCTACATCTACAGACATAAGGCAAATTGCAGGAGCTGTGTGCTGACAGCGTCAGCTCTTGGAAACCTCAGCTCCAGGGCAAGCATTTTGCTTTCTTATTCAACCTTTTGCTCACAGGAACAGCATTCACCTTGTTTGCAGATGAATTTATAAGGTTAAGTAGTATGAGCAGCAAATACTCCCAGCAATGCTTGTTTAATCAAAGGGTTTGAGAATTTCTCTCAAATGAATGCTTTACGAAAATATTACTGCAGTGGCAGTGAGGCAGCTTCCAATTCACATACTCCCAGTCCTCAAATAAAGACAAGAACCTTTGTGCATCACATAAGGACTCAGGAGAGACCGGGAAGCTTCACAACTTTTAATGCTGTAAGAAATCCACTTCCTAGTTATGCAAAATAAGAATGAGGGGTAATAATCTTTGCATTCAAAAGGAACTAATGAATGGTAACATTTCTCTGTATGTATTCTTTAGGATCAAGTGGGGATTTTAATGCAGTAAAAGCAGGAGTAATAAACAAGACCATGGATCTGGAACAGAAACAAGCTTGTGCCTCTCCCCCAGTGTCTAAACTAAGCTTTTGTATGACCTCTGATCCAAAATGATGATTTTCTTCTCAATAAGGAAAAACTCCAAACTATCACAGACAAATTAATGCACGCACTATGTAATTTTTTCCTGGGAAAGACAAAAGTTTTGAAAACCAAGTAAAAGCAGGCATGAAACAGTTTAAAGCAGCTTGCTACTCTCCTAGTATTTTGGTTAATCTTTTATTTGCTGCAAGTTCTAAGACAGATGATATTACACTTTGGATTTTTATTAGGATATTACTAAGGCAAAGGAAACGTTAGCTTATTGTGTGCTTAGCATTAAAGACATTACTAACTGGCTAATCTGAGGTGCTCATTTCAAATCAGTAAGTTATGAATGTTGAGCAGCCCACTTACAAATGGCTTCAGTAAAGGATCAGTGTATTCAAGTTATTTCACTGTTACCTTAGCTTTAATCGTGAGAGTACCACTCGATACATGTGACTTGCAGGGAAATTCCTTCTCTGTGCAATTGGCAGCATGATGGGATGAACAGCTCCCACAACATAGCCTTTGCTGTAATAGTCTTCCACCCGAGATGCTATATCCAACACAGAACTGATCTTGATAACTTCTGGGTTTGAAGAAGCTAAAAAGCATTGAAAGCAGAAGAGAAGCACGTGATACTGTATACGTCTAAACATTTTGGGTGAGTTTCTTTTATGCAAACCCAACAAAACCTGTCCCCAGGCATTCATTAAAACCAACAGTTGTATTTATACAAGAAAAAGCAGATTCATGGATGATTCACCACCATTCAAATACTTCAAGTACCTATTTTTACAACTTAATACGATCTATTTTTAACATACTTGGCAACATTTTCTGTTTGATCAAGATCTGCCAAGCTGATTTAAAAAGCTCTGTTAACATCTAAACACATAATAGGGCTGAACTTAACAAAGCAACTATGTTGTCTAGCCAAAGCCTTAAACATACTGATGCAGTATCTCTCAACTCTAGTTTTCAGGTAAATTCCCACATAACATATTTAAACCTGCAACAATTGATTTGTTTCTGGGTTTTTTTTTTCCCTTAGAAGTGATCTGTGGAGTATCAGTTGACATTTTGACAGTTACAGTTCCTTTTTTCAAGAGACTTATACATCACCTAAGTAAGCTTGTACTGTCACTGATTTCTAAGGAGGGTCCCTCTCAGTGTGTGCAGGCATTTTGCATCAATAGGTAGCACCTAGGTAATACATTATTGTTAGAGAAAACTACAGAGATAAAGGGAAAACTTCCTGGAGAACCTTTTTTGAATGGTCCACAGCTTTTACAGAGAGAAAAGGAAGATTCCATGCTGGTAACAGAGATGTTCTGCTACAGTCAGTCTGATGGGTCAGTAATTCCTGTTTCTCTTAAGTACAGCTGGAACTCTAGATGCTTTCAGAAAGCAGGAAATCAATACTTATACAAATAGCAGCAGAAACCCCATTATGCCAGCACAGATTTGCCAAAGCTTTCATCCTTTGCACTTAGGAACTCTGATAACAAAACAGCCTGGCTGGAAATCTGCTGGTCTATTGGTGACCCTTGCTCCAAGCAGCCTATTTGCCTGGATCTTGTTGGATACTGATGGATCCCTCTTTGCAGGACTTTCTATGCATTAAGATCAGTGTCCATCTCCATCAAAAGATACCTCAATCAAAACTAAGTGATCTCACAACACTTTTTCCAAGATACCAATTGTAACATGCTGCCCTCAGCATTCCCTTTCAAACCATACAACTGAAAATAATTAAATACACTAACTCTCCTTTCATTCTGTAATTTTAAAAATTTATAAAATAAAAAATAAAATAAATGCAATTACATAAATTTCTCATCACTTTGTTAACTTCTTGTCCCTACCTTCTCTTGTCTATCCGCATTATAGTGCAGGTTGGCAATAGCAAGGAATTTAAGGACCTAAGACACAGAAGTCACTAAGTTCGTCTATCCTACTGTTTAAACTATCATAAATCAGAGATATGACTCCTTAGTTTGCACAAATATTTTTTTTCTAATAAACTGAATTAGAACTCTGCTGATTCACAAGTATTGTTCTGTAGAGACTCTATACTGCTTTCCCACTATAAAATGTGGATGATATTGACATACATACAGTTACCGAGGGCTTTAAAAAAAGACCACAAAACCCCCACAAGCTATCAGAAACTAGTATTTTACAACACTCAAATGCTTTTTAATACCAATTTCTATTAATGGGAAAAGGAAGGGTGGCCTGCTTGGCTTATCACTGTAAGAGCCTTAACAGAAAAGCCATCAAGAAGAACCAGAATAATTTATACCAGGGAACACACACTACCAAAAATTATCAGCAACATACATATTGATGGTTTATTGCTGATAATCAGCAAATTCAAGATATTACACTAAACTGTCAGTCACTCTCAGTCATAAGGACAGGGCTGTTGCACTTTTTCTTTAAGCAGACAGTGTATCACAGCTACCATTTTGTAAACAGATGGTATTTTGTCATTAGCAATACCTCCATCCCATGATTCCACTCACTGTAAATCCAGGAGCCACATATATTGAGAAATAACTGCTCCACACCTACACACCAAAAAAGCAGGAATGATGCAATATGATCATCACATCCCTGATTTTATAAATGTCTTAAACCCTTTTTCATAAAAAAAGTTTCCTTCCTGATGTGCTCTCAACAGGTAGCCAAAATACTGTAGCAATAACAATTCCAGCTAACTTTCCAGCTGCATAGTAAGCCTCAGATGCAGGATACTGAAGATGACAAAAGAGCTATTTCATACATATTCATACTGGTATTCAGAATGACAAGAACTTGACAGCATGTCATCTTGGTAGGCTGCATCAATATTTCTTGTTTTCCCTAACAGGAGGATAGTGGAAAAAGCATAAGCACTCTGCTTAGTAAAAATATATAAACTATTTCTACTTTCTGGTTAAACTGACTTCACAATACAGCAGCTGTTTGTGTCATTGGGATAAGACTAATGACTGAGACCTTGGAATTTACAGTCACTGACCAGCATTCAAAATTACACTTCAGAGTCTAGTGCTCCCTCTTCTTTGTACTATACCGTTCCACCAAAATAAAAGATTGGCTATGATTTTCTTTTTCTTGCTTTCAAAGCTAATTTTTACACCAGGGATGGGAGCATTTTGGGAACCAGGAAGGGAGAAGCCAAGGTTCAATGCACAGCTAATAACTAGTTAAGATGCACAGCGACTCCAGCCAGCAAAATTCACACTACAGCATGGTTGACCTAATCTGCATCATGGCCTGGAAGAAGATCAGGGACTGCTGAAAGTTTCCCCAGCAGGCTCATTTCGACTTCACATTGCATATACCTGATAAAGCACAGAATAAGGCATATTGAATTGAAACAACACATACATGCTTGCTATACTTTTACCTTGGTGCAGGACATGGTTTACTGTAAGAGCTTAAAATATTAAGTTAAGATTTTCTGTTTTACTTGGTGCAAGATCCAGTGGCAAGAAATCACTCGGGCACACACAAATCTCCTATGCAGAAGAGTGCCATAAATACACAACTTGACAGCAGAGCAAAAACTTTGGTCTGAAGTTATAAAGGGCTCTCAGTTTAATTTAGCCAAAGGACATTCAAATAGCAACAAGTACAGGAGCAAGCTGGCTGAAGGAGAAAGAAAAAAGCTCAGTATATTCTCCACAGTACTTGAGCCAATCCCCTCATTTGCAAAACACTCAGAATTGAAAAATGCCTCCAAGACAGCATATATATGCACCATGCTCTTTTTCTGCATTCATCTTAGCTCTAAAAATAGACTTCAAAAAAAAAGTATTTTGAGGTTATATACATATATCTAGAACCATCCAACAGAAAGATACCTTTGTTTACAAATCCCCTTACTGCCAGTGAGAAACCTAAAGAAGAGTGAGGCAACTATCTGAAACTGATCTGTTATTTAACATTCATAATTCCACCGAAGCAAAGCAATTCTGCTTATCAGACAAAACAACAGAAAAATGAATCTTTACTGCTGTACTGTTAGGTTATTAAAACAGAGATACACCTTTAATTGCACTTGTTTGATGGGCTTTTACTTAAAAGGTCACAACCACTTTTAAAACAATTTATAAAACACTATTAGAAATTGTAACTTGAATACACAGCAAAACTCTCTGGAACAGAGGCTACTTAAGAACACTGAATGCTCTCCAGTTTCCAAAAAATTTATCCTTCCTATATCAGTAAATAATCCATGTATGCATTAGGCAGCCTAACTTTATTTCCAATATCTTACCACTACTTACTCAACAGCTTTGTTTCTTCAAAAGGAAAAAGCCAGTGAGAAACTTTTTGTGTAAATAAACAGAACAAAGTTAGATTTCCAGTACTATATAACCTACCAGAATATATCTTCTATTAGTATGTTACATTTTTTAATGGAAAGACTCCTGTATTTTAAATAAAAATATAATACAGTTAAAATTAATCAGAAACCACATTTTGTTTATGAAAATGTTCCTGTAATTGCAGTAAGACCTGCACTTACACTGTTTCCCTTTATCCAACCCTTTTATTAACAGCATTTTCTTCAAATCCTTGTTTTTAAGCATTTCCAGTAGACTGGGTTGGTACGAAATGCAAGTTACTATGAAGTGACTGTAAAACTGAGCTGCCTGTGCTCTGAGGGCAGCCATCTGGGCTTGTTTATGTTTTCAACTTTGTGGAACAGGGAGTTGCTCTGTTAGAGATGGGACACCCTCGGGAAGGAAGTATCCCACAGAGCACTGTCTGCCTCTAGCTATGCATACAGATTTTGTTTCATTTCAGTCACAATTTCAAAAGACTATTCAACAACTACAAGTAAAGCATTTGGGAAAAAACGTAAGACAGAACTCAGACTCTTATAACAGAAACTTCTACCAAGAGACTGCGGTGGGCATAAGAGGGGAAGTTACTCCCGATATACAACTAAGGAACAGACTTACTTCTGCATAAAGTAACAAGGACAATGACAGCCTGTTTTCGGAAGTTGAGGGCATTTAAAAAATTGTTATTCAATTAAGGCTCAGGCACAGTGTATTTTCTGAACCGTCACACTGAATTCAGACAACCATTATTCAATAACAAGGACAGTTGTATAATTTGGAGGTTTTGGTTGTTAAAAATACTTCAGCAGTTTCCATTGTAATTTTATACAAGTAAGAACCTTCGTCATGATTTGTGTTTCAAAATAAAAGTCTTACATTTTGGCTAGCTTTGATAAAAGTGCCTAAGATTTACTGTAAATCAAACAAGACAAAACTAAGTTAAATCCTGTTCCTTCTTACTTCAAAATAGTAAAGATACAGCATTAAAAAAATACCTTCTAAGGTAAAATCCAGCAATACATATTCATAAGCAGAATCCGTCTTTGTTTCAACTTGTGGTCTCTTCAGTGTAGAAAAGATTTTTCCAGGGCTGCTATCATCTGGGTCTTCCAGCTTTCTCAGTCCGCACCCCATGGCAAGATCTGCAAATGATTAAGTCACAGGAAAAGGTGGGGGGAGCAGCAAGATCTGTCGCTCTTACTAGAGGGAAAAAAAGGAACCAAATAATTCCCCTCGGTTTTTTTTTCCCATTAGCTGTAAATCCAAACAGAGAAAAAGCCCAGTTCCCAGACCAAAAAGCAAAGGTACTTTCCATTCATTTTTAATATAGAAGCAGAAAGCTTGTGATGATTTCAAGCTACAAACTTGGTTAAGAGTAGGCTTGATTTCGCAGCAACACTAGAGCTGCTCCCAACTACCAGAGATTTTCCATGCCACGTCAATTTACAGCCAGCCCCTATCAGTGCTCTCTTGCAGAGGACACCAATAGTGCTTTGTTTGTCCTTCTGGACTGACTGGGTGAGGGGGGGGCGAGGGGGGAAGAAGAACTGAAAAAGAAAGTTAGAAAGAAACTTGTCTGTCATTACTTACCTCCAGAAGTTCCCAACTGCAGTAGAAAGTCAGACAGGAAAAAAGCAACTTAGTCAGAATGAAAGAATGAGAAAAGAGCCTCAACATGGTTGGAGATGAAAATCACTTCCAGAAAGGAAGTCAGCTTCAAGAGGAAATTGCTTCTGGCATCTCAAAGGGTAGAAAGGCAAATGAAAAGCTGTTTAGTCCTTATTTTAGATTTAGAGTTGGCTCCTATTTCCTTTCTACAGGGACTTTCTTACGGAGAAAAAAAAAACAAACCAGCGTGAACACAGCGTAATAGTGTAAAAATATGTAGTAATTTCTTGTCCAGAAAAATCAGTAAGAATCTTTAGCATGAAAATTAACTTATGTAACTAGTTTTGAAAAACACCAAAAATAATTACACTGCAATATTCCTCATCTCATATGGGAAAGACTTTGTCAACACTACATATGAAAAAAATTACAAAACTTTGTTTTCCATTATTCCTGGGTATTGAAGAAACGGAATCCTTTCCTCCTCTCTTAAACTCACCTTAGTTGGTACAGCCACAGAGTTTCAAACACTGTAAAAAGTTTTCTATGTATACCTTTATTTAGGTCCTAAAAATTCAGTATAATTTTAAGGGCTCTCATTACTCTTCCATTAACTATTGCAAGTCACTTGTAACTGCATTATAACAGCACCTGACACAGACCACAATAATGCATAGGGAGAAAAACAGAACACAGAGTTATTTTCTGTGGCCCCACTGTTGCCAGGATGAACTGTTAGAAATTTCCCTTTTTATTTTTAGACTGCACCTAATGAAATTCAGTCATCTAGAGAAAACTGAAGATTCACACCACCATTGTAGATTAAATGAATGGCAAATTTAAATTCAAAAGGCTTTTCTGCTTTTTTCATTAAAATACATATACCTTATTAAAAATGCTAATATTTTCTATGAAAAATAACTCCAAGTTAGACATTAACTATTTGTGGGTTTCTGTTCTACTGCAAGCAAAGTGATCAAACTTTTTATTTAAGTAACTTAGCAAGAATAATAAGTCTAGAGACTACAACCTTTGGAAACACACATTATAGATTAAAGTCACTTAATTCTAGAAAAAAAATTAAAATCACTTAGTGCAGAGCCTGGAACTAAAGCTGTAATTACTGCAGTCTTTAAAACAGACTCCCAGCTGCTGAAACAGAAAGGAAATCCTCAAGTGTTGTCTTCTCGATTAAAACCTAGGACAACATACCAAATATGCAGAATTCTTCATCTTTCTGAGAGTCTTCTCACACAGAAATTGCTCCCAAACATTACTTTTTTTTCAGTAAAGGTTATCCCTGAACTGTTGCCATATCAATCATACCTGTAAACTGTCCACTCAGCCTTGAGAATCTAGCTGCTTCATTCTACACACCCCTTAAGATTCATTGTAACTGCTTCTATGAAACCATAGCATGAGTAAGATAGCTGCAAGTAAAACAACTGTTTTTGCACCACTAGTCCAATTGTCAGCAGGCTGCTTTTTAATTTGTGTTTCACTTAATAGCTACATTTTCAATGAGGCCATTTTCAACACATATTTTGAACTCTTCATGACATGGCTTACACAATATTACACCCCCTCACCAAGATAGGATTTTCCATAGTATAAACAAACTTTTATAACACCAGAAAAAAAAAAAAATCATAGTTACAGATAAAAGCAATGGTCCATATTTTGTGCAATCCTAGATAAGTATAAGTAGTTACGAGCTTCCAAGTTGGAAGTCAGTCAACAGCTGTCATTGCAGACTTGACTCAAGTCACTAATAAAACCAAAGGTTGCACAGACCAAAATAAAGAAAACAAAACAAAATCAGCAAGAATAAGCAGCATCCCCCACTGGAGTTTAAAACTGCATCAAAACACTTGAATGACTCAGGAGAGACACAGGATCACAAGATTCTTAAGATTCAAGAGCTGCTTGAAGAGCTGCAATTTCCTGTTGCCAAGTGGATACAAACTACAAAACAATCTATTTCCAGTGACCCAAAATGCAAAGGCTCTGGGAACGGGTATCAGAGGAGAGCAAATCCCTAAAACTACCATGTGATTCACCAGCATGTTGTATTTACAGTGTCCTCTCTGAAAGGGCATGTGACTCCTTCACTGAAGCTTGATATCATTTTTAAAGAAGGCAAAGACAGCCAGTCAAAGGACCAATGAGTCCAAAGGAACTCTGCCTCCATGGAAGGGCTTCCAGGATCTCCAACAGTTTTTATTCTGATTAAACAGAAAAATGATACCAAGACCGCAAGCAAAGCACATTAACAGGGATGTGTGTCTCATGCTGGATTACTGAGTACCTGCTGGCAACACAGGAAAGAGCAGCAGCAGCAATTCTGCACAGGAGCTTTGACCAGAACGTGAGACAAACAAGCTTTGCTGTCTACCCACACCTCAGGGCTGTTCCTGCCCTTCCTCATGATCTGCTTCCTTCCCTCTTCTCTGGAGGAGGTTTAAAAGCTTTTGTGTGGGAGGCATTTTTGTTTTTCTTGTTACTTTGCTAGGCTTATTGAACAAAAGGACACCACTCGATGCTTGAAACTGCAGTTTGGAAATAAACGTCCCCTGCTCCTGACTCTGTTCTAAGCTGCAATCAATATGAGAGCCAGAGCAGGCTCTGTCTATGGCCTTGGTGCTTAACAAGTGGTACTGGCATCCTTTTTTGATGAAATCTCTCTTGCTAGAATTGTAAAGATAACCCTTCTTGAAGTTTGGAACACGTGTGACAAACTCATGTGAACACAAAGCCTATTTACAGGAATAAAACTATTTACTTCTTCAAAACCCAATATGATCTGCATAAACCATTTAATAATGCAGTTTAAATGTTTCCTCCCCCATCACCTTAGGAGAGCAAGAATGGGACATGATACCTGATCAGAGTTTCCTCTTGACTAAAATAATGAAATGTAAGGAAAATTATGAAAACAATGCAGGTACAAAAAAGATGCTTCTTGTCCATATGAGTAATATCGAAACCAAAACTCAAGGAAGATCCTAAATTACTAAATCTGCAATTCAGTCAGCTATACCAGTGTTCATGCCAAATGTTTTGTGAATGTGACAGGAACAGCCTTGTTAAACATGTTAACTTGAGCAGGGAAGCCAGCTTTTCTGCTGGAAGTTTTAACTTACATGTTCCAAAAATAATGAACAGAGATGACAACAATAGTTTGCTTTTGCGGTCATTAAAACATAGTTTAATGATCAAAGTTAAATTACATTTTTTCATGTTTTTTTTAAAACCATATTAAAACTCTGATACTACAATAAACAAAACTTACAATCCAAATAGTAAACATAGACCAGAAACTCAGAACTTTACTAGAAATCCAAAACTACAGAAGCTTGTTTATTATTGCTGTATTACAAGCAGTTTCAATAGAAAGAGCTTTTAATTTCTAAAACTGTTAACAGTTCTCTAAAATGAGATCTGCATATATATTAAACTTTTCTCTCTGTGAATTCACAGTGTCTCACTCATCAAGGCAGTAGCAAGTGTATCAACTGTATATCCAATACAGCATCAAAAACTGGAGCCATATGTTAGCCACAAACTAAACCCATGAATTCTGGAAAGAAACTGGATGGGCTCAATCTGTATTTTCAGCTATAACAGCTATATAAGGATTAGTGTGCAGGACTGCACACATGGCACTGTACTCTGGATCCTTAAAATAAGGACTTAAGCTGAATATTTTTATTTCAATAGGAAACTTAAGAAGTTTTTATAGCAGGTAAAGTGAACCTACTATAGTACATCAGCATTGCAAAGGCACAAACCTATTTTACAAAAAAAAAAAAAACAACAGTATTTTGCAGACGTACAACTTTTCATATTTTATGACGATGTTAAACAGAGAAAAACTTTTTACGAGAGCCATGTGTTCTGCTAGTTACTACTGGAATGCAGTTTACTCAATGACTTCTTAACTATTTTGGAAAATGAGCACCTGAATATAAAGAAATGCCAGTTTGAAATGAAAACTGCAAACAGCTTTTCAGAGACAATAAATTCTGTTGCATAAGATCTGAAGCAGAAACCAAAAATACAAATGAACCAGAGAATTCTACATTTTACCAAAAAAACCAACCAGATACACAAAAATACCCGAGAGACAACTTCAGTAACTTTTTACCTGTCCAAGTTTTTATCCAGTGTTAATAGAGAATGATAGAACTAACCTTCTGCAATGGAAATGGAACATTAAGCAGACAGCAGTTACTAGAAACAGTGTAACAGCAAGCTCAGTAGAAAACCAACCAGCTTCCAGCAGAAGACACCAACCAATTCTCCTACATTCCAAAGGGTGGAAGCCAGAAAATTAACTTAGTTTGCTAATATAGGAATGTGAGAGCCAATGCATAAAGGTCATTTTCTATCAGTTACTGCATGCCCACAGAGCACGTGGGGATACATTCCCTCCTAGCACCAGTGTGGAGCCTCAATATTATCAGCAGGAAACTGCAGAAGGCCAAAGAGAACATGACTCCCAAAATCCTCATCTGAGGATCTATGGTTAACTAAATGACTTTTATTTAGCAGTATGGGAATCTCCACATTCCAGAAAGCTTAACTAGCAGAACAGGATTGTGCAGTGTAAAGGAACAAGAAGTCATAAATGCCAGAACATCAAAACAGTACAACTGTAGGCACTGAGGAAATGTAGTTTGCCCCTAGCCCACATTTAATTCAACTACAGGGATTCACACAGGTCAGTTACATCTCAACCATGCCTACAGAGAGATTCAACTCCTGACAGGTTGGTTCAGTCACTGCTGTCTGATGTCATGCCATCACTCTTGGCAAGCACTCTGAACAAAGATGAGCCACAATATAAATGAAAAGGCCTCAGTATTTGAACAGTGACTGCCAGTTCCTAGAGGAAAACCATTATTCAGAGCTACTTGGTTTCTTCTCTGTCTCTCAAATCAAAACAAGGCTTTGTTAAGACTTGGAAGACACAATCCTAACTAACAGTGTCTCCAGAGTGATGTTACACACCCCACAGGGGAACACTGCAGGGATAGTTAAGTGCCTGACACTGAGTATCCTTACAAACAATCAAGTTCACACAAATGTAAAAATAAAGTGAGTGATCTCTGAAGAAAGGCCATGGGATCAACTCATTATCAACAATCTAACATCTGCACCAATTGAGAGAAAATAAACTACTTTTGTGGGTGTCTGGAATAGAGCCACAATGTGATGTCACGTGACTGCTCTAAGCACTCTTCTTTTAAGATAGTACTGACTGTAAAATTAACTTCTTCAATCTCTGAAGCATTATTAAAAACAGGCAATTCACATTTGGTAAACAGAGTGCAGATTCCAAAAATATGGGCTTGGGACTAAAACTCCAGAATCCTGGGTCAAATGTGTGTTTTCTGATACAAGAAATAAGGCTCTACCCAAACACAATCTTTCTTTGGCACCTACAGAGACAAAACTTCCTTAAAAAATACCTACTATGTAAAAATTCTTCCATGGAAATAAATTATGGCTTTGATGAGCCAAGATTTTTATGATAAATTTGTATTGATAAGTTCCAAAATGTGAAAATTAAACAGAACTGGACAAACATGTTTAGTGGTACAGACTTCCTCAGAAACATGAGAAATTAAAGCAAATGAATACTTCCCCCTTCAAAAACAGGCTGAACTCTACGTGTCAAAAAAATTGTATACTTCTTTTGACACTTAGTGGCAAAACAATCCACTACAGCTGCTACAGCAATAAATTGTTAAAAATAGAAACTATTAAAATTATATTTGTGTAGATTTTTCTACCTAGCAGAAGGTGCAAAGTCAGTCACATGAGGAAACTTGCAACCAAGACTTAATACATGGCATCTCCTTTCTTAACAATTTCAAACAATATAAAACTAGAACTGGGCTCCAACTCTCTTCCTGGACAGCACTGCAAAGCACTACTGAACACTAGAAGAATCTTTAAAGATATTTATATATCATACATGGATTATTCACTGACTACAATGTCCATTTGGCAAGATCTCTGAAAGATTAAAAGGAAGAAAGTACCAACAAAACAAACCCACACAAAAAGAAAATCCCCAAATTACTACAAAACAGATAAAATTGACTAACTCAAGGATATATTAGATAAAAAAAAAAAAAAAGCTTCAGTGCTACAGAAGCAATAAGCCATACCTTGCACTCCTGTAAATACATAAGCTGTATTTTCAACCTTTGGGGAATGTGATTTTGTAATGAATAGAAGGAACTCCAGGAGGTGAGGGGAGAAGCAAAAACCAAACAACACACAATAACCAAATAATAAAATTATTTTCTTGAAATCAAGTTAAAAATAGTCTTTCATCTCAATTTGTGATACTGCCAGGGAGTTCCTTATTTTCATACAGACAACAGAAGACCTCAAAGAAGCAAAGAACTTTTCATTGCTATTTCTAATTCAAGTAGTCAATTAATTCCTTTTTCTCTAGCTAAAAACATACTATAAAACCAAATACATATGGAAGAAAAATACTAGAATGAGAACAAATCATTATTAAACTAGGGGTCCAAATTTTATTTTAAAAAGTTATTACTGCGAACACTAAAATGTCACACAAGTAAAATACCATATAAAAGTAGAGAATACTGATAGCAAGAAAAATTAAGCTACACAAATTGTTTTGGAATGGAAATGAAACTCACATAGATTTAAATAACAAGATTTTATCCACAGTACAAAAATGCTGTATGTGGCAAAATGGCTTCAACTTTCTAACTAATGTATCTTTCAAGTGTATGTAACCCAGAAATTAAAAATGACATTATCTTTTTAGTAGAAGTACACTGGCTTTCAGTCTGGGTTAGTAACTGGAATACATACAGCAGACTGTGTTTCAGAAATCACCCTCTCGGTCCTGTAACAGGATTTCTATTAAGAAAGGAAGTGCAGGGATAAAATTATAATTTCATGTGGTTTTACCTGACCAAAATACGAAATTTCATGTTATTGCTTGAAAAAAGTAGTGGTATTTTAACTGGGGAACCTGCAAGGAAACATCAGAAGTTAGGAAGAACACACTCTCACTGTGATAGGTGTCTTAGCAAAATACATGGCTAAAAACCCCAGCATTTTACAGCATCTGTAGAAGGTAAAGTTTTATCTTCCATTCTGTAATTTTTTTTGGATGAAACTGATGACTTCATGCAGACTGAAGTTTCAGACTCACAGACGAATGATGCAGAACATGTCTTCTCACAGAATGCGACCTCAATTCCTAAAGAGAGGGAAAAATGCTGTGTTGTTTCTTCCGTTGCAAAGTGTGTCCCATTTACTGCATTAATAATGCTTCAATGAACGGTTACAGTCCACTATTGCATCAGCTGGACAGATTTGGTTCAAAAAGGAAAAGCAGATTTTTCTTATGCACCTAGGTCATGAAGCCCACCTAGGTCATGGTTCAAAAAGGAAAAGCAGATTTTTCTTATGCACCTAGGTCATGAAGCCCACAGTGGCAGGAAATACCCTCCTTTACTTACAAGCATGGAATCTTAGGAGTTCCGAATTCTTTTACTAAAAGAAAGCAAACCAGTTTTGTTCATTGATCATACAGTCTTACTAAAGGATGTCAAGTTATTAAAGCAATCGTATCCTCTTTATAATCTGATGGGGAAAATTTATTTTTACAAAGTATTTAGTGAAAACCTATGTAACCAATTCAATTTTCTTTTCTTTAGCATTTCTGGTAATGTAGATTAGAGCAATGCTTTACTATGGGTGCTTACAATAATGTTTTCATTAAGTTTTTAGCAGCTGACACATAAAACCTGAGCTAGTGAACTGAAAGCTGTTTATTTGTAAACTGAGAGGCAATGGACTGTGCTTATATAATTTGTCAGTGGATGCCACTAGCTGCTGACAAAAGGATGGCAAGATGCAGAAAATGCAGCTACCATTTTAGGTATTGGCAAAAACATTTTAGAATACTTTTACCTATTCTGTTTTTTCTTCCAAAGATCAAATTCTCTTACAGTCCCCCTGTCTAAGCTGATCTAGATCCCAAAGGTACACTGTCCATCTCTTTTACTCTTCACTTAATTATGTCATATGACAGACTCAAACTACTTTCTTTCTAACCTTGTTTCTTATCCCAGGCCTTTTCAGCACTAACTTCTTTTTTTGTTTTGTTAAATTTAACTTTTTATGCTCCCTTCTGGCTCTGATTGTTTCCTAATACAACCAGCTGCAGTTTATACACCTCTATCAGGATATTCAAACCACTCTAATCTCAATATATCAGTCTCTTTCCATCATCTACACAACTCCCCACCATTGTGTGCATTGCTTTTCAAAACTCCCAAGGTTCCCTGCTCTTCAGTTTTCATATCCACTTTGCAGGATTTCAACCCCAATGTGTTTCTCTTTTTCCTTAGTTTAACTCCTATTAGTATAGGTAGGACACAAACACCTTCTCTTTGTCTACTGAGAATATTATACTTAGTTTTACACTAGTAGGCTTCTAATATTTGTTTAAAAGCCACAGCTGGGGATAAATCATACAGGCACATATGCAGATGAGAAGTCACATGCAGCAAGGCCCTGCTACAAATCAGTGAGCTGTTTAAAAGCTATCAAGTCAGAAACTGACTCTAATATTAAGATGTGCAAAACATGTATTCTTCCCTAGGCCTCCTTTCATCAAAATACTAATTTTTAAAAAAGTGAAGGCAACAAAGAAGCAGCATTTTCACAGTAAAACATGCTTGAGCACCTGCCAGAGTATAGCCCTATAAACACAAGCTACTGTAAATTGCACAAACAGAGAAAAAGGGAAGAAGTTGTCAAAAGGCAATTAAAAGAGTTTGCAGAAACTAAAGAATCATACATTGGTAGTACTGAAAATTTCATTCTTGCTAAAGGAAAACAATCCAAACCCATATAAAATTCAGGCAGTTTAACTAAAATGATGATGGAGTTTACATATACATTACCATTCCAGGAATGAATGACACCGATTATACAGAGTTTGGTTTATGAAGAGAATTACTAGCAAGTGTCAAACTGAAGAAAGCAGGTAAGTGATACTGCAGACTGTGCTAGACCTGAGCACATTATATTACTCACAAAAAGCAAGCATTGCAATGAAATAACTGACCCAAATGCCACAACTGGCAGCTGCTAGCTGTTATGGAGATGATGGATCTCGGCCACACAGGAAGGACTGGACACAAAAGAAAAAAAAAAAAAAAAGAATAAAATTAATCAGTAAAGATAGACTAGAGTGGCTGAAATGCTTTTATAGTGAATTCTCCATAGGGTCATCAAGTAAAGAGAAAGCAAAAGACAAAAACCCACTGAACTGAAGTAAGAGCAAACAAACAGGAAAGAAAAAGAGAAGTTTGTAAAGAGAACACAGAATGAAACAACATGAGAAAAAGCATGCACCCCCTGTATCTTTCCACATTAATATCAAATTTGCAAGTAGAGTTTAAAATAGCCATTTTAGAGGCAACAGACCTAGCCGCAGCTAGTGACAAGTCTCTTGGCAATCATATAACTAGAAGTTTAGATTCATGTTTCTTAGACTAACATATCGATAAACAAAAGGCTTAGCCTCTTTCAATTTCACTTACCTAAACAGAAATTATGTAGCAATACTTTTGTTGTTTCAGACAGAATATCAGACAATAACATGCAGTACAAGTATAAAATAACTAAACTTTTCCCCAAATGATTACACCAGAATTCTTATGAAAGACACAATTTACATAAATCTACGTGCATGTGTATCTACTTAAACTTTACAAACACATGTACATTTATATGTATTATACACACTGAACACAAATCTTCCCCTATTGTTCTTAACTACAGAGAATAACAGTGTGCTATGTTCAGTTAAATTTACAGAACACTTACAACACAAAGGCCATCATGCACCATTATGGTCTGAATGCAAGCATCCATGAACTATAGCACAAATGACACTTTATTGTCTGGTAGTGTAGATGCCACCCAAACCCACTGCTGGACACAAACTATGTGAAAAGCAGTAACTGCAACAGACTAGAACCAGGCCTACCCCCCAAAGAGGACACTGCAGCTCAAAAGGGTAGATAATAAAAAAAACCACATGAAATAAACCCTACCCACCCACTCAATCCATGTGCCAGAACCTTTTACACTTTGCTCACTCTGTGGACTGCAATTGTGTGCTCAGCTCCTCAGGCCTCGGAGGTCTCCCTCATATACACACATAATATACAACTAACATTTACCAGGCCAGTGCCTCAGAACTTCAGATAAACACTTAACAAAACCAAAACTTAATTCATAGATATTTGTCCTGGGCCTGAAATCAAAGATCACAAACGTCAATCCTTGCTAAGTTTCCATTGTTACTATAGCCCAGATAACTTTTACTACCAGACACTAACATATACTCTTTGGAAAAATCCAAACATTCATCTCCATATTAGATGATGATAGAGGATCTGAAACATCCAGTAGAGATGAGAAATCTTCTCACTTCCTAAAAAAAAAGTGTCACATGGCCGCCTTTGAGAATGAATGTTAGCCATATCCATTTGTACAGACATGAATATCGGAAGTGACTTCCACATGCTCATCAACAGAACGTGCTATTAATTGCCAAAAGAATTAAGCTTAAAGTAAATATATTCAATGTCATTAGCAAACACACAAACACAGGGAGGAGATTAGCATTTTTTGATTCAAACTTGATCATAAATACCAAATTTGAATCTCAAAATAATTTACAGTTCTAAGATGGAATATATTAGCTTCTAACTTTCATTTGGCACTATTAAAAACTTTGTACTAAAACCCAGCATTTTTAGTTAGTACTGGTTGTACTGATGGTAGAACAGAGAATGATATGCCACATGAGCTGCATTTGAAAGCTGTAAGAAGTCTACAACTGTCAAAAATAACTGGATACCAGCTGTAGCATCCTACTCTCACCACCTGACCTACAGCTCCCTAGGATAAAACCCAGGAATTGCACTGGGAATACACAGTGCAAGAGGCAATTAGCAGATTACCTCCAAGGTACAGTCATTACTTCAGGCACCTGCTTTCTACTGGCACTACTTGGCAGTTTTCAAGCAGCGGATATTTGCTAGGGTATTTTAAGTAGACTACAGCCACCAGGCAGTTGTCTTCTGCAGCTGGGGAGCAGGTGGTAATACCACAGCCACTTGCCTAACACATAGCAGTGTGCTGACAACATTTGCCTTTTTCAGTCATTGATGAGAGCTCAGCCACACTGACACACAATACAAGCTGATCATATTCATTACCTGGGAAACGTATTCAAACTCCAAGTAGGTACGTCAAAAAGTAGTATGAAAATTTAAAGGGGAAAGTTATATTTTAGAACTACTAATTACTAGTAAATGAAGCTAACTAAAGAAATAAAACTAAAAACCCAAAGAATATTTAGCATCAGCCTGTAACAAATAAAATTATGAGAATTTAGTAAGCCTTTGGAAAGGTTTAATATCTGAATCTACCTGAGACCTGAACAGAACAGAGTTTTAATTCTAGGTAACAAGACTTCTGAGAAAGCAGGAAAGAATGAGCAAGAAATACGTTGTTCCAAGACAAGACTTGGGTTACAGCCCCCTCTGCTGGAAATACCTAGTACATATTGTTACACAACAGTCCCAAAAAATGCTGAAAGTAAAATAAGTGGAAAAATATGTGGAACAGAGAGCTTATAACATGGCTTCATTCGTTCATGTTTAGTCTTCCACATGCAGCTGAGTAAGAATCTTTCAGAGAAGAGTAAGTACTGTAATATCAATTACTGACAACTTTAGATCTCTCATCAGGCAAATCAGTTTTCACATTATTTCATGTATGGTGTCACAGTTGCCTTATTAATTTAGTCAAGAGCACCTTAAACTGGAAACCAAAAAAATTCAACAACTTGCATCAGGTGACATGGAATAATATTCAAATAGCCTTTCTAAATCAGAACTGCACAAAAAACCACCCAGAGGTGACTGACTGGGACAGTTTTTCATTTTCTGCATTTCAAAACCTTAACTCTTCACAACATGAGGTGTTTTTCTAAGGCACTAATGAATATAAGGACAAGACCCAGAGAAAGAAACAAGTATTTGTAACCATCATCCTTAAGAACTGAATAAGGTTCATGATTTTTCTCTCAAAATGTTTCTGATTTGCAGTTTACTTTGTAGCTCAGTCTTAAAATAACTAGTCATGTTTTGACTTCTTAGCTTCCCCAAATAGTTTAAAAACAAGTAATATGTTTGTCCCTCTGCAACAAAACTTCAGCTGAAGAAAAATCTCATTTTCTCTCCAATATTTCCTATTTCCTTATGTACTAATTCATTACTAAAAGACTTTTTCATCCATTTCCCTCTTGTCTTACTGTCCCTGCTTCAAGAAATATGACAGCAATACTGCTATGCTATGCTATCTTAGTGTGATACTCACAGGTGCAGACACGGCTATTTGACTCTGGACATAGGGCTGATAATGTAGTGTTTGAACTCCATGATCAGGATACAGCTGGTATTAAAAAAATTACAAAAAAATTAGCACAAAAGCGTGTTTCACAAAGTTAAGTTTTTAAGATTTTCATATGAATTTAGGATGCTTAAAACTTCAAAATGTGGGCTATGCTTATCTGAACTATTTTTTTAAAATCACAATTTCAATATTTAAATCTATATTTTCCCCACTGATTAGTTAAGTTTAGTAAACTTAGTTTATCTTAAATCAGTGTCACAAATCACTTTCCTTGACAGAAATAGCAGCTTCTTTATTACAAATTTTACTTGGCTGTAATGGGAACAGTGTAGATTAGCATACTGAAAATGTAATTCCCAGCAGCATCATACTTATAAAATATTTACATACAAGTAATACAGACTATTCTTGGAATTTTACACCATTTTGAAATTTGACACACTGCTTCCTTTAATGTGAACAAATTGCCTACCTGTAAATCAAGAGCACATTATATACAAATATTCCTCTAAATAATTTCACCTATTTTCTTAGTGCTCATGGTTTTCAGACCTCTGTACACTTTTATATCAAAATGATAAATACTAAAACAGTACTGTTAATAAGATTACGATTATAAAAGAAATACCAAGATCTATGCACCTTCAAAAAGGAAGGAAAACCCCCTTAACCCAAGCCTTGTATTATTCAGTATCTTTGCAGGGAAATTAAATTACTTCAGTATGTCAAGAATTTTCCACTTCAGATGTCTGAAATACCAGTTCTGGAATTTCTTTTGTAGAAACAAAATATCTATTTATTTTTGGAACCATATTTGGTTACTAGTATTAGTAATTAGATATCTTAATTTAACATCCATTTTGGCCTCCCTATTAATGAGGAATGAGTATTTGAGAAGTATCAATCAATATCAAATTGAAAATGTGTGTAATTCAGTTTTTCTGCAGCCATTTAGTATTTTTTTAAAATCCAATCATGAAGAGATTGATTGAATGATTAAGTATTTTTTGCTTACAGTTTCTTGGTTCTATATCAGTAACATTTCTAACATTTAAGAGATTTTTAAAGTACAGTAAAGCACTCTTAATTACTTCAGATCATCAGAATATTTAGAAACAAGCTTCTCCTCACAGAATTACTTTAGAAAACTATTGTGGTTCAGGGATATTCAACCCAACATTCCAAAGAATGAACTCCCATTTTATTTAAACATTACTTGCAAATAAAACAAATTGACAAGTCCTGTGGCTGTCTGTAATACATTTGTGACTCTCTAAAATATTTCAGAATCCAAGCATTCTGCTAGACAGGAAGAGAAGTTCTAACCTGAGGACACCTGAAATTATTTAACATTAACATAAGTAGGGAACAGTTGACCTCATTGCTCTAAGAGCAAGTGCTTAAAAGAAAAGACTGTATCTTTCAATCACAATAAGCACTTCAATTTTCAGTACATTTTTTTACATTTAAAAAAATACCTCAGGAACTGCAGCTTCCATTAGGAGAGGTGGAGATATACATCCACCTTCCTGGTTAATTCCTATTGGCTGATACAAGACTTCAGATGGTCGCAGATACAGGAGTGGAGGTGAAGAGGTAGGAGACTGAAATAAAACACATTAATCTAAATTACAATTTTTATAATTTAAGCAGGATAAAGAGAAGACTTTATTTTACAGTCTTCTTTGCTACATACAAACAAAAGATAAAACTTTAAAATTAAGTGTCAAATTAATCTTTGATAATCTAAAGAAACTGAGAGGGAAGTGGATAGAAAGGTCAGGTAGTAGGAGAAAAAAGTCCTTACATTTATGTGGTTTTCAGATTTTATTCACATTTTGGAGAGCATTGCAAAATCCTAAAACTTGTAAAATTCACATTTAATCTCAAAATCACAGAAACATACTACAGTTCAATTTTCCCTTGTAACACTGTTACACTAGCAAAACAAGTTTTTTGTTTTGAACTAATTAGAGTAACTCCTTAATTCAGCACACTGATTTCAAAGCAGTGGATTGATCTATTAGAGTGGAACAGACCATAACTGGACAAGGCTGGCTGCTATTAAAGCAATGAGGCTGCATTGTAACAGCTCAAGCTTAAGGGACTTGGTCCTCCTTTCAGGTTCAAACTCTGAGTTCCTCAAGCGTCAAGATTTCCATATTAAGCTGCTCTTTCACAAATCAGATAAAATCTCCCCACAAAATGACCGAGTTGACAATACCTTCTTCCTACTTCATGAGCCTGGGTCTAATTTCACCCAGTGTGTGTCCATGTGCTTCTGCTAACTCTACCCCTATGAAATGACACACTTATCAGTTAATTGTTAAGTTAATATCCATTTCTTTAATCAGGTGAAATTTGGCAGTTTTTACCTGCTTCTAAAGGATTTGTTAGGTAATTTGATACAAATATTTTGCTAAATGGAAGGGGAGGGGAAGGTGTTTTCTTTACATCAGATTTATATGTAATGTTTCAACAGATGCTATTTTATGCCTTCCGCTGTAGCAGTAAATGTTAAAAATACATTGCTAAAATACAGCAATTAATACTAACTTCAACCAGGTTGTGAATAGTGGGAAATCTCACTCTTAGATAAGCACAGCATACCTTTAAACTAGGTGAAAAGTAATGATAAAATGCTGCAACTATGAACTGCATTTACCTGTGTAACAGACCACTGCCACTGACTTGAAAGACACTGTATTGGTGCCTAAAATTGAACAAGAACACATCAATAATGTGGTGAAGAACAAATACACATAGAATACTATTATTCTCAAATCTGTAATTAATTATCACCTAAAAAGAGGAAATACAATTTTCATTAAGCCCCTAATTATTCGTTGTTTTACCTATTTCAACTCAGCTTCCAACTTGACCATTTCATAAACTTCAAAAACACTTAGGTTCTCAACAGAGATGCTCAGAGCACATGAAACAATGGACCCAAGCTGGACCACTAAAAAATGTGGCTTTAAGGGAAAGGTCTTTTATGATGAGAAGGGTCAAGTATAGGAAGAGGTTCTCTAGAAACGTTGTGTGCAATCTTCACCATTGGAGCTACTTAAAACCCAAGTGGACAAGTACCCAAGAAACCTGTTCTAACCAACCGTACTCTGAGCAGGAGTTTGGCTTAGATGATAAGCCAGCTGTCCTGCAACACAAAAGAAAATGTAATTTACTAAACTTTCATGTAGTTACATAAGCAGAATACTCTGTATTCTACTGAAAAGTCATCAATGAAGTTAAATTATGTTTCACACTACTATCACAAACTATTTCTTAAGAATAAACAGACTTGGGACAGTGCTGCAAATAGTACTGGAGGATTAGTGACAGTCTGAAAACCATTTTCAAACAGATACCTGATAATGGTACGTAGGAGACTGATAAACAGGTGGAGCAACCATCACAGGTGAACTGGAAACAGAGCAAGACTTCAAAAGAAAAGAAGTTACAAATCTTAATGAAGCAATTTGATCAACTGTCACTCCTTTTACACACAGCTCTGGAGTACTATGATAGTGAACCACCCCCCCTCCCTTTTGAAAATGATTCACAAAATTTCAACCTACACTTAAGCTGTTTCAAATCCAGTGCCTCTAACAGCTTGTGTTAGATCAAACAAAAATCTCTGGCATACTCACACCTTTCTAGAAAGCACTAGGCCACCACTACCTAGAGATAGTAGAACTTATTCCTGGGGCAAGGCCCAGACTCATTATGAACTATCCTGTGAAAACACTTCAGCTATCCTGGTCCATAGAAAAGCATAAATACCAAAATAAACTCCTTACTGGCCATGGCTGCTGAACAGGAGAGCCTTCAGATGTATGAAAATAAGCCACTCCATTATGGTAAACATATGGATAGCCACTCGAAGTGGTCAAGTACATTGTACCAGCTTCTGGTGATACAGCAGTAGTTGCATACATTGTACCAGCTTGTGGTGCCACAGAAGAACCTGGAATAAATATTTAAAAACTTATTTACAAATAACTTTTTTCAGATGTGTACATAATGAAAAAAAAAGATCACTTTTGATCGTGACAGAAAGAAAACATTCAAAGGAAAGAACATGGAGCAGCTTGTCTAATGCCATCTCAATTCCCTCTCAAACACAGTAATGAAAGCAGATGGCCACAGGATGTCCTCAGAGCTAGATGGGAAAGGCTGCAGAAGATGACATCCAAACAAATAATTAAACACAACACATAATATGGGGAGATTTCTGGAGAGAAAAAAAAAGGGAAAATTAATTCCATAACTGAAACTGAAATCACAAAATAGTAGTATAGTACACAAAAAAATCAGGAAGAACACAGTGTAAACAATATCGAGTTTAGTTTTTCATTTTGCCTTGCAAAGGTAAAAACCACCATGAAGTGCCATTTTATGAACAGCCAGAACACTGCAGAGATCACCAGAATGCCCAGTGGAAGACCAAGAAGGGTCCCACAGAGATTCAAGAGCTTTTATTGATAGTAAGAGTTTGACTTTTTTCCTAGAAAAGGCTTAAGACACCTGGATACAACACAGCTGAAATATTACCCATAGACAGGCTAAGATGTTTCTTAGGATAATGTTAAGCATGCCTTAGGAAAACTAAAGGCTGTTTTAGCTCCAGTAAGCAATCTAGAATAGCACTTACTGGTATCTCAGATGAGATCAATACAATTCCATGACCAACAATCCTGTCCACCAGCTACCAAGTAATTTGCACAAACTTTCTGCCAATGTTGAGTAAGTCTCTGGCAAAGAAAAAAGAAATCTTCCTCATCAAACACAGAAAACTCACTGATGAAAAAATACATTTTGATGCTGGGGTAAAGCAAACCAAGTGGCTCTCCCAAGTACGTTCAAAGCTCTCATCCCAAATGATCCTGTGACAGGAGAGCTACAAATAATTTTGCTTTACACTATGAAAGACAAGCACTATATATGTGGGCTATAGAGGACAGCTTACTGTCCAGCTCTCTGATTCTGTGGAATGAAATGGAATCCACAGCTCTACAGTGACATTTTAAGTCCAGGTGTTCTGGCCTCACAAGCCCAAGAGCTGCAGTAGGACAAAGCATCCTGGTGACTGAGATACACTGAGCATGAGAGCAGACATAATGAAACCAGGCCCTACGATGTGTCTGGATGCCAATATGATCTTCTATCACAGATCTATCCTAGGCATAAGACACAACAAGTAGCTGAACACGTCCACAAATAAAGATCTTAAAAGAACACAGCAGCTTTCTCCAAAAACCTTTTTTAAAAGATTTTTGGTTTACCCCTCTACTGCCTCATGTCTCAAAACACAGAGATACACACCTTTTCTATCAATTTACACATTCATTATGAAAGTCAACTCCCGCAAGTTGACTCTTCCCCCAAGGGCTTCCATAAGTCAGGCAAAACAACTGACAAAATACAAATCAAGATGGAAAGTGAAATAAAGCATAGCAAGAAAATGGCATACACTCTCATGATGATCACTGAGCAAAGATTATACTGAATAATTTCTAGAGCAAAGAAACTACAGAGTTGGAACAAATATTCCATTTCCCCTGGGCAAATAATAACCCATACACTTACCCAAGGGAAAAGGGCTTACTTAGGCACAAGCAGAAGATGAGGCAAACTTCCTGTCTTCAGCAAGTGTGTCTGCACCAACAGCATTAGTGTACATGTGAACCACTTCTAACAGAGCACAACAAACAAAAGAAAACTTCAGGATTAAATCAATGTTCTTGTGTGTTCTGACCTCAGAATGAAGATGAGCCAAAGGGAAGACCAGGTACCTCTTGGTTAAAAACTTATATTCATACTGACAATACACAAATGCAAGTAAAAATACATACGAGAATTAGGACTCCACGCTTGTTTTCTTACTGCTGGTGCAATATTCAATTTCTTATTCTTATAGTTGAGGTTTTTAGCCTAGAATTAAAGAAAGAAGACATTATTATTTTTTACATAGCTCTAGGCATCTGAGAACTGAAAAATAACTTAGTAGGTTAGACACATTGAGCAAGAGAGCAGTTATGTTGAAACCAGATCCTAGGATATGTGTCTGGAACCTGGTGAAACTCCTCAAGGTCTGTTTTTAATACTACACATAGTAGACTGCAACATAAAAGGAAGTTCTGGAGACATTACTCAAAATAGAAGAGTAGGACAAAAGAAAAAAAGAATCAGCATATAATCAGAATTTCATATTAAAAACTCAAGAGTATAAAACAAAACCCCATTAATTTAATATAAAATTTGAAGCCTAGAAACTCAGCTGAAGATGGAAAAAGACCTAGATGCTACATGACATTAAAGATGAATATGAAATAGAAATGTGCAAAGATGAAAAAGATGATAAAATTATAAAATATCTAAATTAAGGAATTTAGAGTAGGCAAAGTAAAACATCAGTAAGACTTTACATGGAGTAGCCTTTCAGTTGCAAAAAGGGCAAAATGGTACCATTTACAAAATGATACTCAGTACCATTGGTATTGAGAAATAAAGCAATTTTTAAAAAGCCAGAGCAAGACAGCCAGCTGACTCAAGAAGTTGGCTGCTTGTATACTTTTTTAGCTCCACTAAATTAAAACAAAAGTTTGGAATTTTCAACATTTTAACCAGCCCTCTAATTGTGAGAGGGCAATTTGCATATGTGTCAGATGCTATTTTCTTGGTTTTTTTTAACTTGCACCTTGATACCCTCTCGTGAATGAGTAACTCCTGACTGACAGATGTCTCCAATACGTTCCACCCAAAATACAAGAGCACACATTTCACAAAACCAAATGAACTGAAGAGCTGACCATGTCTCAAGGGAGGCTCTACAAGGAGCATCAAGACAGTAACATAGCTAAGAGAAGCAAAAATTAAACAGCTTGAGCTATATCACTGAAGCCTTCAAAGGAACCCAATTGTTACTAAAAAGAATTCAACTAGGGTTGACAAACCAACATGACAGAATAAAAGACAGCAGCTACCATTCTAATTTCCACAAAAAAATCTTGACAGCAGCGGAATGTGAAGGATAAAGTTTTCATAACTCTACATGTACTACAGACTAAGAAAATAAAGACCAATGTTGAAGTCGAAAATAGTACTATGAACTAGAACTTCCTTCCTTAGCTCCAGAATATCTCAGTATAAATCTTATCCAAGAGCTCTAAATCTTACCTTAGATCTCTTTAAACAATTTTAACTATCAGACCAAACTTATCTTCAAATGCAACTTGGCAAACAGAGGACCAGAGTACTCAGGTCTGGTACGAAATTAATTAATTCAATTAAGAGACAACAACAATGGGGACTGCCACTTACATCTTGTAAAATCTTCTGAGCCTCTTCTTGGGTTTCAAATGTAACAAAGCCATACCTAAACAAAAATGATGGAAGCTAAGCCTCTAAAGTTTCTATTTACAAACACAGCATATAGTTACTTGATGTACAGTACAAGTGACATTACAAGGTAAATTAATGGGTATAAAACCTCTAGAAGTAAAGACTGAATTAACAATTGCATTCTTAGCACCTTTTAAATTACATTCAAGTATGTGGCAATACACCACTGTGAATGACCAGCTGTTCTTGTTACTCAGTCTATGTCTAAAAGTCCTTCATTGCTATTAAACAAAGATTTTGATCTAAACCCTTCACTTTTTGAGGTGACCAAAGATGAGACACTTGAGATTTTTTCAAATTTAATATTATACTGTAATTCATAGTATAGATCCCCCTACTTCACCAACAATTGTGAATGCTCCCCACTGCCACAAGCACAATCCATTATTTTAAACTGAGTTCTCAGAAAAAGCAGTGAAGCAGCCATTATCTGTGAATTCTCCTGTAATTCTTAACAGAATTAGCATTAAAAAGAGTTCTGTGGAGGTCAAGGATGGAGCAATTCCCATACTTTGTGACATAGTGTCTTTTATCATACCTCTTCTAACTTCTGCAATAAATCAAACAGGCTTTCAACTCAGAACTGCTTTTCCAACCCCCCCAGTTCATTCCCAGAGTAATGTTGGTGGCACTGCCAGTGCAAAGCAATTATCTGAATGTACACAACACGTATACAAGAAAACAAAAACACCTTCCGCCCCCCTCCAATAAATCTAACTTCCTAAATTTCAAATGTTTTTTGAAATCTTTGAAATGTGAAATGTGTACTTCTGTACACATGATTTATTAGGGTTATGGTTCATTTCTCAGGGTCACATTACAGAAGGTATGAGATTTTGCCTCTCCCACCACCAGATCAGATTTTGCAATACAAGGTCATCATTCTTTGTGAGCACGTGTACGCTAATTTTAATACAGACGTTCAATAAATCTGACCAGCTGTACTTTGAAATTTGTGGGTTTTTCTTGTATTGGCTTCTCTAAACTGGAAACATTTCCAAGTTAAAAGACAAAGTATTCTCCTGCTTGGGACCCTACCTACACAGACTTTTCATTCTGTAGACTGTCTGGACAATAAAGTAATAAATGTAATCACGAACTTGTACGTTTTTAAAATCACTTGTCCAGCAGAAGCAACAAAGCCCGTGCCTGGAGCTCAAAGGAAATCCTAACAGCATGGAAAGTAATTATTTTCCAACATATCTGCTGTGAGACATTGTGAAGATGTTTTAGGGGTTCCACGGACGGTTTGGGGTGAATATATGCGAGAGATATCTGTTGGTTGCTCTTGGGGGATGAGGTTTATTCGGGATGCAGAGAGGCCCTGCCTCGAGCGGCCTGAGGTGATGGGGGAGGGGAGAGACAAAGAGGGGAGCAGGGACTCCAGAGGGAGGTTCCAGGAGGAGAGGGGAAGATCCAAGAGGGTGTCCAGCCCCCCGGAGACCCCTTATCAAGGGGGGCTCCAAGGTGGGCTGGAACAGGACCTGGGCCAATGGGGTCACAGGCACCTGATGGTTCAGGGGAGGGTTACAGGTGTGGGGTGAACCATACATTCTGGGGGGTGAGATGGAACAGTCCATTTGACCTTTGGACCCCTCTGTAGGTGAGGGTGATTGTCCAGCCACTAGGGGGCGTTATATTCGTCCTGGCTGTAATATTGTGGTTCTTAATCATATTTATCTACCCTTCCCAACAAGACATATTGACAATCATAATGCATAATTATTATGTGCTACATGTACACACACACTGCAATTCTCAGATACTTCTTGGAATTTACTAAAAGGGCAGGAGTCTTGGTGACAGATCTGGGACCAAGTCTTTGAAGTCATGCAAGTGCACATAATTTGCTGATACACATTAAGCTCTAATAGCATTAAAACTGTCCTTACTGCTCGGGAGATAACTTTAGAGGTGAACTCGCATGCACATTCCTGTTTGCTTCAGCCCTCTTTCCCACCTTCTCTGGCAGTGCACTTCCCCACCTCATTTACATCACCATCTTTTGGGTTACAGCAAAAATTTTACTATCCAATCTTAATCTTTCTCTGTATTTGCTCTTTGTCATTTTTCCTACTGGTGACTTCCAGTCTCAGTCTCCATTGTTAGCAATCGTCATTTAACTCATGTTGTAAGTGATGAGATTTGTCCCCTATGCTGCTGTTTCAAAAACCTTCACACAAAAATCTGTTACTGCCATGCACTCCAGCACAATCAGGTGTATCTAAGCTTTTCCTCCACTTTAGGCTCCTTTCCATACTGGCTTTCAGTAATACAAATATATTTAGTAATGAAATAACCTTGCTAGGATAACCTTGCACTGCAGTATTAGTCACAAAGAAAACCTGAAAAAATGGAAACTATTGATTCTGTCCTAATTGCACATAACTTCATCTTATAACAACATGACTAACAGAGTTTTAGTTATGCAAATTGGAGACATTTATATAGAGATATTAAAGGGCAAGAACAGATTTTTGCACACATGGGATAACTGAAACATCAATAATAAAATATTATGAGCTATGGAAATCAATCAAATTTACTATAGTCAGCTTTCTGTTATTATCAATTTCCACAATACACTTATTCTACTATACCGACCCCTTCGATACTCCAGCTCTGTCATTTATTATCTTCACTTCTGTCACACTGCCATACTGAGCAAAAAAATTCTTCAGGTCCTTTTCATTAGCCTAGTACAGTAAATCAAGAAGGGGAAAAAAAAAAGGTAAAGTTGGTTTGCATAGCTATTAAATTAATTAGTTCAATATTTACCTTAAGACTATTAATGGATGTATTTTGGATGAAGTTTGCTACAAACTAATTATAACCCTGCATATCAAGACAGAAGAATGAGCAAGTATGAGCCTCAGGGCTCACTTAATTACTGCATTAATTATTCAACAATAATTCTAGAAACTTCTCATTAGTAGATTTATGTAACAACTGTCCTATCACAGTTCAGATCAATGAAGCAGGTGTACTAGATCCAAATTTTAGTTTCTGTTAATCACATGCTAGAGCAGTTTACAGTATGAAAAATCACTGCCATACTTTCAACTGCAACACAGCAGAGCATGTAGATATACACAGGTCACATAAATCCCCCAAAACCACAGTGATTTAGTGGTCAAACCCATTGAATATACCATGATCCCTCTTTCTGAAGAGGTTTTAACATGAGAGTCTGCAAATATGTACAGGCCCACTATATGAACTCCCCACTGTAAGTAAGAAAATGTTATTTCAAAGGAGAATGGTCTAAGTCAACTTAGAAGGAACTGCCCCCCTCCAAGTATGTAGAGAATAAAACAGCTTTCTAATGTAAAGACTCACCTAAGCTTTGGGAACACTCCTCTGCCTTGTATAAATATTTTTTTACAACGTAAGCATATATCACATATGATGCAGTAAGCATCACATTTGAGTTTTAAATTTTGTTCTGCATAGCCCTTAGTTAATGCTATACCTAACACTGGAAAAAGAACAGTTATATGCACACACCGTTCATCTATACTTCTCCTTAACTTCATGTATACTAAGTACTGTTTTACTTCTAAGTTAATGACTTTGATTCTTTGTATACAATGGAGGGAATCCTCTCCAGCACATCAAAGGTTTATGTGCCTCATCCAAGTCTGAAACCGATCAGTGCTCAAAGTGTTACCCAAGGATATAAGGGCTTGCTAAACAGAACTATGAATCTGGAAAGACAAAGGTTTATGTGCAGAGCAGTGCATTGCTGAAGAATAAGGAAATGCTATTCTAAGATGCACAGTAAAATCATAATATTTTGAAACTTACAAGAAACACATGCAGGTGCTTTTTCCTGCTTATGATAAGACAAAGACACTTGTCAGATTCTTTAAGGAGGGTAAAGGCTTAGCATTAGCCTTTGTCAGTGACACATGGCTGCACCACTAAAGAAAGAGCTCTTCAGACCAAGATGAAAATGCTCCCAACTCTAACTTTCCTTGCTGAATTATTTCTCTAAGTTTGAGAGACCAGGTGTTTCCTCTTAAAAATAGGAATCACTGCCATGGTGATAGACAAAATGGCAAAATCATAAAAGAGCTTGTTAGAAAGCAAGTTAAATTTTTGTTGATTAACTGTTTCCCTTTCTCACAAAAATAAAGTCAATAGCTTTCACATCACCCCAGGTGACTTGAATAAGACCTCCGACTTAAAAAAAAATACCCCAAAAACCCCAATACTTTTTGCCATGAGATTGCCAATAGAAAGCAATTCAAGACTGACATATAAACCCTATGAGGACTAGATCAGAAATTTAAGGCTGTATTTGATATAAAGAATCATACCAAATGGAAGAGCAACTAAAATGGCCATAGAGGGTCTCATCCCTTCTATTTCCTCTCCCCTCTGCAAAAAAAAATCCATCTTCTTTATGATTATAAACATGCTTAAACTGTTGTTGAAAATACAATTCCATAATAAATTCTGAAGTATCAGCATCTGAACCAAGTCAAGAGACCCTTTAAAACAAATAATAAGTATGATAATTAATAAAAATATTGATGTTAGACAGAAAATTAGTTTAACCTTTGAAATTGCAGTCAAAACAGAAGGTAGCAAGAGATCCTTTCACAGCTCCAGAAATTTGTTTACTATTGGTGCAAAACGCCACTTTAATAAAGTCTAAATGTACTGAAGGTCTTGTACATCTCAAAATATGAACATCTCTATTTGAATTATCTCAGCCAAATAAACCAGAAGATTCTGGAATTTCTTGCATTTGTTATGCAAAATAGCCTGAGTGAATTATCAATTCTTGTTCCTCTTCCAGTGAGTCAGTACTCAGAAGGCCTCAGCCTAAGAGGATTAATGCAGGGAAGATGCTCTTGATGGGAACAAAGCAACAGCTACCCAGACGAAGCATGTTTTGCAAGTCAATGCCTTAATTAATTATCTAAGGTGGGAAGAGAGAAAAACCTTAACTTTAAGCTTATCACAAAAGCAACTGAACAAGCAAGTCAATGCCTTAATTAATTATCTAAGGTGGGAAGAGAGAAAAACCTTAACCTTAAGCTCATCACAAAAGCAACTGAACAAGGTAAGAGTGGTGCAATGTTCACTGCTATTTAAAGATTTTAGGGAATATACAAAGGCACGAGCATTCTAGGAATTAAGATCAATACTGCAAAATACCCAGAGAAGTTTACATACTTATTTTAAAAACAAACTCCTGCGTTTAAGAAAATTACTGTGGTGAGGAATATACACACTGCAATTCATTGTGTGAACCAGAAGTGTTAGAGGAACAAAAGCCACGGACCTATGAAACATTGTGACAGTTTATTAAATTACACTAAGTGGTACACATAAACAAAGTCTTCTACATGCTTTTCTGCCATCAGCTCTGCTGATGACAGAAGCTATCTCCTATGAAAAAAGAAAACTCTGAAGAAGCGTCAAAAGCTTCTATCAGCTAGGTGTACAGAGTGAACTTTGTAGGACAGTTATGCAAATTAAAGCTTAAAGCTTTATTCTCTACTGTAGGTTTGGCCATTAAAGTGAAGAGGACTTGCCAACTAAACAAATACACATGACTGTGTCTCTTTTCCCTGGTGATTTTTATACAGTTATAAATTATAATTTAGCAGCAAAAAGAGGGAAGAATACCTTAAAATCGATTCCTCCAACAAAGACACGATTTGGAATAACTGCTCCAGACCTTGGAGAACTGATCCGATTATTTAACCTCACCGGTGACATAGTGTTGGGACATGAAGGTAAAGCTTCTGTTTGCATCTGATCAGTGGCCTGATGATAGAAAGAAAACATTTTCAAAATCTTACGCGTTATTTATCAGTAAATGAAACAACTCTCAACAGACAATACATACAGAATTTTTCAGAAGACACAGCAGATCCTGAACATTTACCATGTATTTTTACTCAGAATGTAGTTCAGTGTTTAAACACAAGCTCAATCTTAATGAATTCAGTAACTTGGTGAATACGCTATGGTCTGAAGTCCAGTGTTAAAACCTCTTCTAAACTGGACACCAATCTTGGTTCAATTTGCAAAGCACCCTGCTGCATAAATTTCAGGTTATGAATTCTATTATACAACAGATCTCTCTACTAAAAAGTCTTTATTTTAAACCTGTATAGAATGGACATTTTAAACTCAATCTGTACTCTCACACACAGCTGTACGACTATTCTCTGCAACAACCTCCAGTTCATTTTCCAAGTGCCGAGCGCCCATAATTCCACCACATGATATCAACAAGCTCCACACACCCGATGAGAACAGGTCCTGAAGACTGGTATTTTAATTCAACACCCTCTTGGCCTACAAACACATCACACAGTGGTCTGAACAGAAATTCCCTCTGCAGAAGAGCAACCAGGTTGCTCTTGCCCCAGTAAAAGGATATAACACAATGGGATGTCATAGAAACAAGTATTTGGTGAAGCCTGGCTAACGTTTTAACTTTCAGCATGCTTACACTTGCGAACCATGAAGCAGTTTAATTGTAAACTCTTTTCGAAACAAAATAATACTGCCTTACAAAGTCAATCCTAACTGTGTAGATGATAGCCGGAAAGCAGACATGTAGTATTGTCACTAACTTCTCCAACAGAATTATTTAATATTTCAGTTACTCCTACTAATTCTAAGTAACGGGTTAATGCCATTATTGTGGATATCTTAAAGACAATAAATCCAGCCTAGCTCACACAATTTCAGTTTTAGAGAAGACACAAGTCCTTTCTGAATGTACTGAAACACAGAGAGAGGAAAACCTGAGGTTGTTAACCTGGTCTGCTCAAGAGAATATAGTATGCATGTCTCCTCCTGGGAATACTACTCTAGAGTACTAACCTGAACTAACTCTACCTCTAGTAGGCAAGGAACCAACACAGTCACTCCCCAGGAGGACTCGTTTTTGCAGCAAAAAACTCCTGAGGGACAAAGCAGGTTACATTCTCCACCTCTCACACCAAATACAACACCCCAACTGCACGATGATCTGGCAACTGTCTTTAGCACAAAAACTTCCGGATTCAACTATAACAATTAGCAGCACAACTGAAACGTACTCCTTACCTCAAAGAGCCTAAACTGCATTGTCTCTGCACACATTTTAAGAGCTGATATATTAAAATAAGGCACAAATGCAAATACCTCAATGGAAAAAATGAGGAATTAATCACACCACTTAGGAACTCACAATACTGTAAACCACAGTGGGTTTTAAGTGTTACATGTTAAAATTTGTATTGTGATAACCACCTCTTTATCAACAGTGTGGCAATAAGAAAACAGTATTAAAAAAAACCAAATATGTGCCATCAGCGCATCACTTACTTCTAAATATTTATTTCCACTGTTTTGTAAACTTCTTTTTTATTAATTTCCCCAAATAATACAGACATATATATTTTTATCAATTACTTAGCGCATCTGGCTCGTTGGCAGAACCGCTATATTCATTTTTACACTGAACACACCCACGGTCAGACAACCTAACTCCAGGAAGGGCTTGTGATTAAGCGCCCTAAACACCTCTATTTTCCGCAGCCCGTGTGCTGTAAGGTCCGAGCCAGACCCCGCTGCCCCGGCACCGTGTCCCGCACACCCGAAGCCGCCAGCGGCTTCTCCACAGCCTGAGGCCGCCACATACAAAATGGCGGTGCCGCGCGGGCGGGCGCGAGCCGGGGCGCCCCGGCGGGACGGTCCCGCTGCCCAGCCGCCCTCCCGCCCGCCCTCCCGCTCTCCGGGGCGGCTGCCCGGCCCCGCGGCCCCGCCGGGCTCCTCACCGCGCCCTCGGCATCCATCGGTCCTCGCAGCCGCCTCGGCCCCCGGCACGTTCCCGGCACGCGCCGCGCTCCTCAGCTCCGCCTCGCGCCCAGCTGACGCGCACCAGCCGGGGACGGGCCTAGAAGGGGCGGGGCCGGCACAGACCGCTCGGCGCGACAGAGCGGCCCTTCCTCGCCCCAGCTCCCCGCCGGCTGCCCTTCCCTCACACGCCCTAGCCCGCCTTCCCCTTTCTCAAATCCCTCTACCCGCAGTCCCCGACTGCTCTCACGGGATCGCTGCGACGGGGCGGTCGGGCGTGCTTCTGCCGCGGCACCGCCCCGCCTCAAGGCCCCGGCGCTGCCGTTAACAGCCGCGCCTCCCGGAGCGGGCGGCTCGCGGCCGCTGCGGTGCCCGGAGCCGCTTGAGCCGAGGCCCCAGCGGGCGTGGGGCGGCCCAGCTGCTCTGCGCTGCCCTCCCCGCGGGTACCGTGGCACCGGCAGCCTCCACGCAGCAGCAGCGGGACGAGTAGGCCTGGTGGACCTCGCTCCCCGAGGGGAGCTCTGAGGAGGGTGCCGGTACCACCCTTCGGAGCCGTGCTTTGAAGCTCTGAGTCAGCCCAGGAACCTCCCTCCAGCAATTTCCCCATCACCTGCGGAGGCAGGAGACAAATCTTCCCAACTAGGGCGTGCAACGGGGAGGAAAACAGGATAACACATTTCATCTGGCCTCTGTGGGAGAAATACAAAAATGCCCAGGGAGGCAGTTACATGTTACCTGGCTTACCAGGCTGTATTTGCACGGGGGTCAAAACACAGTTTAGACTTAACAGTTATCAACGCGAAACAAAAGTCCTGTTTCAACTCAGAGTCTTCCTAAGGTCTCCAAAAGACTCTTGAGTAGGCAGGCTAGCTTGAAAACAGCTGTGGGTCTGGGATGACCTTGGAGATAAAATTTCTGGTTTGCTCAAGAGAGCTGGAAAATAACACAATAATGACCACTCCCCAAAATACTCCAACTCAAAATATTCTTTTTTCCACCCTTACTGAAATGGAGGAGAAGAACCAATAGTAATGCTTGTGTCAAGTGTACTTCTGTGATCATTCACTGAACAGCACTACAACCTGCTCTCCTGTTCCATAATTTCGTCCCACCCGCAAATGCATTTTGCCCTTAGACTATCTCTGGTATTAAACAGGTCTGGAAAAATGAGTCATTCAAATGCCAAACTTATAATCAATGCAGGTACAAAGGTGCAACCTGACAAAAATCCCTGATCTGATGACAGCAGGAGCTGGTATGCAGACAAGTGTGTACTGAGAGAACTGTGTCAGTGGAAAAACTGTTTTTGGAAGTGATCAAACATGCACAGGCTAAGTCACTGCAGCTCAACTCCAAGACTCAATGCCAGGATCACTAATATCATTAGTTACTCTCATGGTTTACGTTTTTTTTTGTGCTTTAAAATAAAGCGTTCAAGAATGAGTATCTTGAAAATGTCTACCTTATATTTTAGCTGAATTCAAATATTTGTATTTGCTTTATGTACATTATACCCATCCCACCTAAACCAAACAGCCCTTCATATCATGTAAGTCTCCCTTAGGCACAGCACAGACTTGTAGTCCTTATGAGATTCTACACTGCTCCTTAATTTTTTTGTGTTGCTTCAACACCTATCAGCTTCTGCAATATTAGTCCTATCACACAGAATAACAAACCACAATCCTAGAAATTTCTAATAATTCTGTGCCTGTAATATATAAAAATATAATGCTTAACTCTTCCTATTGGTTTTTGGGGTTTTTTTAAGCTAAGAAAATTATATAAAAGTAAAGGCAATTTTAGCAGAGCTGATAGGATTTTTTAGAAGTACTTATTTTGTGAGACTACAGAACTCTGCTGAATTGAATTCATTTTATGAATATTTATCAGACAGCAACAAAGCTCATCCTGAGAACAGCACTATATTTTAATGATGTGAAAGGCAGAATAGCCAAAGCCTTTCATGTGCTTCATGTCTTGATTTGGGGAATTTAAAGTGAGAACAGCTGAAAGAATAAACAAACATTCAGAGACATGAAAGTGTATTTTACATAGTTTTAATTGTTGTATCTTCTATATTATAACTCCTCCTTTAGTTAAGAAATCCAAATCTGGGACATTTACATTTAAAATAAGACAGTTGTGACAAAAATGGGACTTTTGCAAATAAATGAAAAATATTGAGCTATTTTTTACTGTGATGCTTTAAAACTGAAAATTCAACACACCGATAAATGTAGCAAGATTAGGAGTAGAGCTGGTAAAAAATACTGCCATGCATACAAGATTTGAATATCACAACAAAGGCTGCTGGGCTGCCCTGGTACTGCATGGCTGCTTCATTAAAGGAATTGTTTCCTGGCTGAGAGAGGCACTCTCAAAGGAAGGAGTGCAACTGTTTTTCCTGATTCCACGTGTCAGCAATATATACAGCATGAAATGATCTCCCCTGCTGTTATCTCCCACAAATTAAAAGGCAGTGCTGGACAGGAAAAAGGCAGTAAAAAACAAGAGTCTGACTATGCTGGTTCCTGTAGGTTTTCACCTTTTATCCCTTTTTTTAGCATCAGAGAAAGAGGTTAAGTGAGGAAAAATAAACCAAAGAAAAAGCAAGAGAGAAAACAGGGAGAAAAAAATTAATTGGGAGGAGGAAAAGAATTCTCCAGGCAGAAAAAGACAAGTATATTTTATGAGTAATACATGGGCCTTACAATAAACTGCTATTTCACTGATTCGCTGACCTTGAAAAGACCTGCTACCTTCTTTTGCTTATTTTTATCTGTGTATAACAATACTAGCTTTCCCACCAACCTTTTAAGATCCTTTTGTTGAAATATAAGCATTAATATATCCTTGTCAGAAGGTGTACCTGATGAAAGATTACTTACTTCCTGCTCTGAAGTTCATAAAAACATCTCTTAGGATGTTACTAGAAGATTGGCTTCTGTCTCTGTTGCATACACAACTGTATTAAAAGAAAAAATAAAAATACGTATCTTATGAAAATGTACACACTGATTTATCTTACAAGCTTGTGGCTGGATTCTCTACACCCTGAGCCCAAACTGAAAAACGCAAGAGATCTTACGTATTCAAGGACTTGGAGGAGACCTCTTAAGGCAGTTAATAGTGCTTAGAAGCACTGAGGGTGGTCACCTAAGAAGTTCCTCTGTGTAAAAGGTATGGTCAGTGCTATGTGAAAAAAGCAGAAGGAAGTTACTAATTTCTGGTGAGTTTTCCATTTATTCAAATGGGTCTATTTCTCTTATATGATATTTCCATATTGCAGGGTCTTTTCCCACAACATTCCCTTTCTTGGGTTGGGCACATGTTTCTTCTCTATGAGCTCCAACTTCTCACTCCCTCTCAGTCTCCACCATTCTCTCTAACCTTTGACTTTAGCTCCTACTTTGTTGCCCTAACAAAGGGGCTACTCCTGCTCACTTCCTCGTCTCTATCCCCCTTATTTAAAAACAAGCAGTAGATACATAGGAAAAACAAGAACACAAAGCATTGATTTTTAAAATGGATTGCTAATCTTTCCCTACTTAACACTGAATTCAAAGACGTTTTTCCATATTGATGTTTCAGTTAGAATCTAGCTTCATGAGGTCACTTATCTTGCCTGTGTGAGTGATTACAGGATTTTTATGCTTTGTTTCTATTTTATTTTGCTCAATTTGCAATTTTTTTTTCCTTTTTCTTTTTCCTGCATTTTGTAAAATACAGTCTCAGGGCATCTGTGAGCTCTGAAATTATTTTTACCTTTTGCTTTCCATTCAGATCAAGGGGGTTTAAGAGTTTGGACATATAGGTAATTTAAATTCAATTTGTTTTATTTGTAGTGGCTCATAGGAAATAATCCAGTGTTGGTTTTGGCCCACACTATGGACATTGGGATCTACAAAACAAGATACATCATTCTTCCATTCTTCCTTTGCTTTTTCCTATCCTCCCCCGAATCACAAGCCTTTGAAAAGTGCTATGTTCAAGTATGGCTCACTGAGGTTCATTGTGTATAATATCTGTTCATAACAACATTTCTTGGCATCTCTGAACATCAAACTTGCAGAGTATAGCTGAGAAAAGCTCTGCTGCCTTTTGACATATGTATAGCCTGAAGAGTTAATACACCTGAGTCTCCCAAATCTTGCTACCAAATCTGAGTCTGAAATGAGACTGAGTCATGTCTAAGATGAGATGAAAAGAGGGTATCTGGTTAGAATTAGAGGATTCTTCCAAACCACAAAGTAAACAGGTGACTCTAAGTTTGCCCAACACATTTAATTATTGGTTAGTCTGTAAATCTGTGTATTTGGGAGTAAAACACTCCTGGCCTTATGTTTGCAGAATGCTTCAGTTTTGCTAATCTGGTGTAAGGTACAGTGGAGGTTAGGATAGCGTATTGATTTTAACCAACAGCTGATTTAACCCCACTCAGAAAAGACAGATAAACAGTTGCTGACAATTGTTCCAATTTATGCATGTTATACTCCCACAGTGGCAGATTTCAGGAAAATAAGCTTACTTAGATTAGTCATTAGGCTTTTTTTCCCACATCCTTCTAACCTGACATTAAGGAACATGAGATTTTGCAATAAAATATTAAATACACTTCATCCCTGATGGAAAATATTTTTAATCTTCTTAAAATCCTGTTCAATTAATACGAGAGGAATTTAAGTTATTTTGAGGATTACATTCAGATCATATCATATTGCCATTTTTTTTTTTTTTTGAGGTGACTTTTCCTAATGAATTGAGAGAGAGGGGCCAACTTTACAGACACATAAAAAAGAACCAAACATAAATATTTTTAGCAGTTTTCAAATTCATGTAACCCTGTGCTTGGAAGCGGTATCAAGAACTAGAGCAGTCTGCATATAATTTCAGTTCCAGCTTAAAAAGGAAGCTTTTACAGGGTATCTGTTCTCAATTTGCATGTACTACCACTTCAAATCAGAAATATTGCTGGGAAATACTGTCTTGATGTTTTTCCACAGGAAACCAGCTTTCTTTGACGAGGCAAATGTGGGTATAGCTCTTTCCTTGTGAGGCCAGTCAGGCACAGGTGATCTAAAGACAACAATGTTCTTTCAACACTTGCTTTGAGTGCATCTGGTTTAGCGTTTTTGTTTGGATCAAGAGGCAGTTTTGAAGCAAATCTCCAGATCATCCTAACATAATGACTTGGTTCACATCACAGAGCAGTTTCTGAGTGCAAACTGACCTCTCAGTTGAAGCCATGAGCTATTGTTCACTTCTCCAATGTGCAGATCTTCTATCCTTGGGATAGAAGACCTGTGCCTCCACCAGAAGTGCCAATGGAATGGATTTCAGGCTCATCACCAACGCTCCCCCCACACAGACCCACTGCTATTGGGTTATTTGATACTTTCCCTCACATCCTTGTCAGGACCCTGCAGAAAGAATTTAAATGAATTCTTTTCTCCTGGTTGTTAGGCTACTGCATAGAACCTCA